AATGGGAGCCTTTTCATTTTGTGCTGTGGGGCAGGTCTCTTAAATGTTTCAGCCCAGGACCCATGCAGCTAAACCAAACCAGGACCCCGACTGGATAATAAAACTGATTGAACATTTTCAAGTGCCAAAATTTAATATCTCAGTGGTATATTGTGTTATTTGATCAAATTTCATAAAAAGACATTGTTTTAAATTTAGTATTTGTGCCATATGTTCAAATTTGTATTACTGCATTTATAAAGTAATCTATAAAGTAATAAAGTAAAGTAATAGTAGCATCTCATTAATAGTGATATTTGGCAGAAATATTCCAGTACATATCCAGTCTTCTCTTTGTAAAAAGTGGTACAAGTAACAATTTCAAGTGGCAAAAACTTTAATATTATTTGTCTTTATGTATTAAAGGTTCTACATTACACAAAATTGACTCTTGTTGTCTTTAAGTCATGGTAGAACATTGTCACCTTGTCAAAAACATACCTGGAGTTGTGTTTTGTTTGAGTAATCCTGCTTTATTAGCCTGTCTACATCCCCAAAGTTCAAAATGTTCTGTTCCACCTTGTGATGTCACGAAGCTGCAGTTTTTGACAGCTCCTTTTTACCTTTAGTTCAGTAGAGATTGGCAATTCCAGGTCTGAAATCATCCAAATGATTCTAGTGAATGTGTATGACATTTAAAAGCACAGTGGAGCACTTTTTGTACTACCACATGACATCACAAGGTGGAACAGAGAGTTTTCTTTTTGAGAGAAGAACTCCCCAGATGAGCAGGTTTTCTATGTTAAACGTATGAATGAAACAAAACACAACTCTAGGTATATTTGTGATAAGGAAACAGCATTATAACATAGATCAGAAAATGGCACAATATGGGCCCTTTAAAGCATAATTTAAAAAAGTATGTCATATGTAAACATCCCATGTTAAAGCAGCCTTTCATATTTAAATAGCCTAATATAAACCCCAGTAACAGTGTGGAGAGTGTGAAACCATTTGAGCAGGCGCTTTCAGATGCCATTAGTCCACATGCCGTCCCCTGTGTATTCTCCCACATTTGTTGCATATGTAGCTCCTATAATTATCTCCATCACATTGTACAACCTTAGATCCTCTCTGTTTCTGCGCCATAATGAACACAATTTACTGTAACCTTACCCCATTGTTAAACCAGTCAGGGGCTTTAGGAAAACAATGCGAAATTGCATCTGCTTGTAATGCGGCGATTGAGTGAGCTGACAGTTATAAATAATTTGAACCCTTCGCCTCCCACAACGAGCCAATAAAACATAATTGTGAATGCAACCACAGCACTCTGAATGTTTACTGAGCTATTTCCAACCATTGCAGATGTACAACGTCTGTGTTTGCTTATTCCACTCCAGTGTGAGAGAAAGCTAAAGTGGACTGCACATCAGTTTTGAATATACAAGGATTCCAACAACAAAAATGATACTGTATTTTGGCTTTACTTGCCCATGCTGTTTACACAATTGCATCTAAAATCTTACAAATGACTGGCCTATATTTTGCTTTCTATGTGCACTACTGGAGTTGTGTTTCGTTTCATTGTTTTAGTAATCGTTTATTATTATTCTACATCTCAAAAGCTGTTCCACCTTGTGATGTCATGTAGTGGTCGTTTTCAAGTTCAATACAAATGGGAAATTCGGGGGCTAAAATTTGCCTAAAGATTCAAGTGAAGATGTATGGTGTTTAAAAACACAGTGGAGCACTTTCAGTACCACCACATGACATCACAAGGTGGAACGCGTCTTCTGGTTGAGAGAAAAACAGATGTTGACGTGTTAAACATGTGTGATTAAAACAAAACACCAGGTATGTTTGTGATGAGGAAACAACAGTATAACATAGATCAGAAAATAGCGCAGTATGGGTAGTATGGGCTCTTTAAAGCAAACTGTTCTCTTCATCGCTCCCAAAGAGTTATGCAGCCAAAACAACCAAATTGCAACCACAATATTTCTGTAATAAACCACAATAGCTATTATGTCTAAAGTATTTGTTAAAATGAAGTCAAGTCAGGCAGATAAACAATGTTCCCTTTTATTAATAAATTATACATCTATACAATATATCCTTAATAAAACTGCAGCTATACAAATCATTGAGAAGAAGTACCACATTATTACCCATACAGCTAAAACACTCAGAGGTATGTTCATTCAGATAAGGGCCATCAGAGGAGCATCTCACTGTCAGAAAAGGGACATGCGCTGGAGCTTCAGATCCACAGTCTATAAAGAAACCACTCCTGTCTCTTCACTTCTGTAGCACACTGCCAGAGTTATGAAGACAAATCATGACTAATAATGAAAGGACTTTAAAGAACCCAGATTACACAAAATTGACTCTTGCAAACCATTCTAGCCATGTTAGAATGTTGTTAACTCATCAAAAACATACCCAGAGTTGTGTTTTGTTTCATTCACATGTTTAAATAATCCAGCAGTATTAGTCTGTCTACATCTCCAAAGCTCAAAATAATCTATTCCACCTTGTGACGACCGTGTAATGGTTGTTTTCAAATTAACAGCTACATTTTACTTTCTGTTCAGTAGAGATTGGAAATTCCAGGGTTAGAATCATCCAGATGATTCTAATGAAGGTCTATAGAGATGTGGAGCACTTCCTGTATTACAACATGACATCACAAGGTGGAACAGAGTGTTTTCTGTTTGAGAGAAGAACTCAGCCTAAATATGCAGGATTTGTGCCTTAAACATGTGTGAATGAAACAAAACACAACTCCAGGTATGTTTGTGATGAGGAAACAACTTTATGACATAGATCAGAAAAAAGTGTAATATGGGCCCTTTACAGAAATCCTGGCCCTTTTCACTTATGTATATACCAAATGGGAGGATTATGATAAAAAGCTGGTCACTTTAAAGAAGACATATTATAATTTGTTCTGGTATTTGTGATAATCAACAACAAAACAAACAAAGAACCACAATACAGAGCGAGGTCATGGGGCAAGTGAAAACCCTGTGACTACAAGACAATGTTGGAATTACTCAAATATGTCTGAAATCTTCAAAATAACCCATGATGAGGGGCAAATATAACAATACATAAGAGTTAATTGTACATAATATGTCATCTTTAAAGTACAAAAGTAGTGGTAGTAAAAATACAAGTACATTATCATCAGTAGGACTGGTAAAGAGAAGAAATGTGCTCTACATTTCACACGGGTTCAGCTTTCAGCATGCTCCAGTGAAAATCAAAAGACATGTGCCTCTAAAAAATCAAAACACAGATAAATGACTAAAAATGATTTGCAGATGAGAGATTCTTCTAGGACTAAAGGAATGCTGTCTAAAGCACAATCTATGCACTGCTTTGGTGTCCGATTGCAGTTCTGATTTCTATTTCTATTGCACCACTTCAGACAGTAAGGCAAGGTCGATGTCTACAGTTTAGATTTGGACACTGAACCTAGTATGTATTGGTTTTGTGTTCAAATGCACTAATGTTCGATTATATTTGCAGTGTAGCAAAATTTTGATTTAGAAAATTGTGGAAATAATTTAGGAGGATTTTAGTAAATATTTAGGTACTATTTACTTTTTAAAATATTAAGTACAGTTTCACATTGATAGTGTTATGTATGCATTTCACTTTGAGGAACAGATAACTGAACTAAAAAAGACTGTGTCCACAATATTCTAATGGAACTGTTAAGTCAGTTTTATTCTATTTAATCAATATAATTTTTCCATGCTTCTTGGATATTGCAGTGAAAACTTTCTTTTGAAATGAATATCAGAGTGAACCATGGCTAATACTTAACGGGCAGATGTCGACCATGGTTGGAAAATTCAAACTCCTTGTCTCGATGCTGTGTGGGTTGCACAACAGAATGACAATAAGCTTCTCTATATGTAAATTGGAACTGCCTTTGTGCAAATCACACCAATAAATTCAAAAAAGTTGAAGAAAAAACTTTTATGCATTTTAGGCACTCAGTAAAGGCAGTTTCGGCCCCTATTCTTCCATCCTTCTTCTTGCAACCGCCATTACACCTGGTCTAGAGTACATTTCCTGACTTGAAATCCAGCTTTGGAAAAATGGAAATCAGCAAGTTGAGGGTTTCAAACACAACATTAGATTTTGCGCACATTCAAAAAGGCATTGGTGCATTTTTGTTGTCCATTCCATAAGGCATAACATTAAGACCACAGATAGATAAAGCAAATCTCTTCTTTGCATTTTACCTGTTTGCTGATGGGCTCTCTTTGGGTGGTAAGTGAATAAATAGTCTCTGAGCGCAAATAGGGCTGTTTTCATTCTACTCATCTGCAGTGTTGATTAATTATCCATTGTGATCCAAAAATGGAACCAGTGTTAGGAAGTAACTGAATACATGTACAGAGAATATGTATGTGTTATAGAAAATGCATAACAAACTGTGAAACAAATATAAATCCTATGTTGCTTGTTTATACTATAATTTAAATGCAACCCTGCGTGAAAGTGTTCAGAATGCAGTACTCTGGTTGGATTATGTATCAGAATATGTTAAAAAATACATTTTAATGCAGGTATTCAGTATTCTGCAACTAAATACATTTTCTATTTCTTCTTTTCATCATTCAATGGAACAGTACTGAATCAACATTGTGACTGAAAAAATACTGGAAAAAATAACCAAAAAAAGGCATGTGGTCATAATGTTATGCCTTGTCAGTGCATGCCAACCTCTTCTAACGTTCATCACCCAGGTAACGCGTTTCAAAATGACAGCAACCCTAAAGCAGTTTATTCACCAACATCTAGTACACGTCACAGCTGTAGAGGAGACTCCGCCCCGTCCTTCTGGTTGGGCGTTAGGAAACTGGAGGCCACATACTTGTGCAATGTTCCTGCGTGATTTCCAGGGCACAAAGTAAAGTCTATTTAGTCTCATAGGATGCATCAGGCACGTAGCATCCACCCGTGGGTCCATTCTGGAGGTATTTTGGTGGATCCTGGAGTCATATGTAGTACTCCTTCATGCTGTCCCGTACTGAGGGGTGGAGGTGGGTCTCTGTAGGGGTGTAGTCCGTGTACATGGTGTGTCTATGCTCCTCCTTGATGCTCCTTTGGGCTCTCCTCTGCTGATACAAGAGGCGAGTGACTACTGCTAAGGCGCATCCCGCAATGAAGACCACGGCCGTGACCACCCCTGGCCAACAAGAAAAATGCATTAAAGGGTGTAAAAGGTAGTGGGAAAACAACAACAGGTTAGATTAGGGAAGAGATCTTGGTCCTCAGAGAAATGTGTATATGGTACAAAGTGGTTTGTATATATTCACGCTTTTAAGACATCTATGTGTTTTGACACTATGGGCCAGGGCTCAAGGGAATATGTAGTTTTCCAAGAGGCCAATAGCTTGTTTATGTAGTGCAAAGGCCAGACTATTTTTATATCTCTCATAAAGTACTGCTATTCGAAACTGGTTAGTTTGAGATATTTAGCAGGATTACACTGATGAAAAACCAGTGTATGGTCAAACAGTGGTTGACATCATACCATATGAATTTTACATATTCTAGTTATTCACCATGATGAGTTTATAAGAGAGTTTTGCTGTCATGGTAATGCTAACAACAACTAGCATGCTAACCACACACCATGCCAAAATCCAATAAAGTCTAAAACTGGACCTGATTCTAAATCTATAAATGAACCAATCTAGTTTTACCCGATATTAACCAATAATTTCATTTATTACATGAAATATTCAATTGTGTTACGCAACTGTTATTTATCCTTCAAATAACTACTGAACACCTTTGTATGAATAAAGGTTCTAAAATTCTGACACATTCTAAGCCAAAATCAGCCTGTAAATAGCCTAATCCATACAATTTAAGGCCCAATCATGAAACCAATACCTGATCCAGACAATTTTTCAGAATCAGCACCGATAATGGTGAATCCCTAAGGCAAACTTATTCCTAACATACCATATGAATTTTGCTATTTCTAATTATTCACCGTGATGAGTTTATAAGAGAATTTCCGATGAGTTTTGCTGTACTGGTAAAGCTAGCAACAACTATCATAATAACCACACACTTCCTGATTCTTACATAATAAAATGCTTATGATTAGATGCAGACAGTCTTGTTTTGACATTAAGAGCTGCTTATAAAATATATCTGTACTGAGGTAAACAAATTGGGCTCATATATATGAGGAAACAAAAACAATTTACAAATGTTCTGTAAAACATGTACATTTTCCTCTGAAATGGTTGAACATTTCAAAAGAGAACAAAACCTGGCACTTAATTATTCACTAGTTATTTTGCCTTTCCCTTATAATTTGCACCTTTCAATATAACGATTAGTTTTGTCAATCAAGGCTTAATCTGATTCACCACTTAAAAATACCCTTGGTTGAACAATGAGCACTATAATAAAAACAGTATTAAATCCCTTCAAAGCCATTGACTAGGCAGGAGCCAGTTCTCTATTTCAAAAGCAGACATGTTTCCCGTTAAAAGATTAGCACAGACTTGAACTTATTTTGCACATAATTGTCTAGGTGTCTGTAATGGTGATGAGGTAGGGATGAATTAGGAGTGGAATAAATAGTTGGATTGACAAACAACATACAATTTCAATTAGAGCACAAGATAGAATGGAAAACAGTAAGGCAAAACAAACCTGCTATTACTGCCAGATCCTTCTGGGTATCATTACCATTCTGCATCTCTTCTTTATTGGCGGCACCTTGATCTAAGTCAAACAGAAACACAGCAGTTCATTAACACTTCATATAGGCACAAGACACAATCAATTTAACTTAAGCTTCTGTCTTGTTTAAAGGCATATTTGTATTCCTTTAGCACTACACCACTTCTCAAAAATCACGTTCCATAAATTTGAAGTTTTATCCTCAATATAAATGTCGGTCCACAAAATTCCTCAGAGTCTGACCTGTAGTAAAGCCTTTCGAGTAGGAGGGTAATGAAGTATGGATTTGAATTGAGTGAATTGGGGAAAAAAAGAGCATTTTATGAAGGGAGAAGATAGGGCCTGGTGGGTTCATTGTTTTCTTGGTTATTTTTATTGGTAGCTAAAGTTTAGTGCTGACAAAGAACTCCAGTGATACAATGAAATACAAGATGTAATACGAGATATAAACGGCAGATATAACATATTAATTTCACAGTCTTACACTTATTTAGTTTAAATATCCATATGTTATGAAATTAACAAAAACATTATAAAAATATCCTTCTCGTCTTTGTGGAGATGTCGCAGTAATGTCACATACTGTTAATTTATCTGTCTCCATGGAAACAAGCAGGTGATGCCATTAGGCTAGGTTATGCATTCATACTTATGTATTTTTTAGGTGTTGAGCACTTAAAAAAAACAAAAAAAGTTGTATAAATGCAACGTAGATATGTTTAGTGTCGCACCAGCTGTGGTTACACACACACTTCAAATCTGAGCAGTAACACATTTGTGGAGTTATAAGATAATTAGAATGAAATGTAAACAGCATTTGGTGTCTTTCTGATCTTAGTCCCACAGATTACTCACATCTGATTTTGTGATTTACATGCCTTTGAAATAATCTTGAATGTCCAGAAATATAATCCACATATATCAACATAATAAGCAAATTTTGATGTGCAAGATTGTGGTGACTACCGGAAAAGTTACATAGTGCATCTTTAAATCTGCATACTCTTCTTATTACAACACAAATTTGTCTGGATTTGGATTTGTCTGGATTTTCAAAGATAGTGCACATTAGATTGTTAACATTCAGTTGTCTGAGTTCCCCACATGATAGCTTTGGCCCCTATATTACTACCGTATTTTACGGGCTATTAGGCGCTCTGGATTATTAAATGGTCTATTTTCAAACTTTTTACACAAATAAACCGCACTGGACTTTAAACAAAACACAACAGTTAGATGGGTCAGTGGGACTTTGTTTGGCGCGTTCACAGTGACTCTGGGCTTTGTTCAATTGTGGCGTGTAGGGAGGGTGCTGTCTGGGACCGCTGGATTGTTGGCGTGTTCACAGTGACTCAGTTGTTCAGTTGTGGCTCAGAATCGCACATTGGACTCGCTTTTTCGGTTCGTTCCTTCGTTCCGTTCCTCGTCGGTGTGGAGTGATGAGTGTGGCTGAGGGTGTTTTTCGCTGCACGGTCGCTGTCTGCTCCGTGCGTGTTTGCGTGCGCTGCGGGTGGTGCAGCTTTGTAGTTTACTGAAGTCGTGCTGGGACACCCGAGTGGATTCATGTTTGGGGCCCTCTGGATTGTGGGGCGCACGGTCGTTTTTTGATGGGGTTAGAGGCTTAAGAGTGTGTCTAATAGCCCAGAAAATACAGTATTTGAGTTGGACTGGGGTAGGTGATTGATTATGTAACATTTCAAAATTCAATCAGCAGGTGTTGGCAGATTACTGCACATTTGTACACTTTTGAGACTTTGAATGATGTTGAGTTGACAAAGTATAAAAATTACTTTCTTTGAATCCCATGATGTGGACTTCATAGTTTAATGACTAATATAAAGTGTGGTAAGTGCGGGCTCAGAGCAGCACTTGGAAACAGGGGCTAAGTGCAGGGAGACGGATCCATTAGTCAGACCGTAATGTGCCCACAGGTGGACACCAGGTGGAGGTCAGCCTTTGAAATGCTAAACAAACCAAGAGCAGAGGCACACCACAGCTTTGGGGCAAGAGGAGAGGGAGCAGAGCCAGCACTCTCATTTGAAGTCCTGTGGAGTTAGCCACTACTGTACTACTACAACTACAGAGTGGAGGGGAAAAGCCTGCTTAAAATTATTCAAATGCTACACTCAAGTATCACTAATATCTTACACATTGAAATCAGACAGTATTTAAATTAAATTTTTAATGTAGGATGTATGGATTATGGCTAATTTATCACAAACTATTGTACAATATAACAGAGGTGATTTGTTGTCAAAAGGGGAACGCTAAAAAGGGAAAGCCTGCAATCAAAAAAGTTATTCAGGATTTAAAAAACTTGCATTATGTAACTTTTCTGGTTTAGGCCTCACCACCTGCTTATTTCTTTGCCAAGAAAATTCCACGGCATGGGATGAGCGGGGTCACTTCTCCACATATGGAGATTGGGCACCAAACTGTGGAACATTCCAGGCAGAGCAGTGAACTCCATAGAGCCAAGCAGGAGGCAAAGTCCCCACAAGAAAATGTATAATAATACATACATATAATGCATAGTGCACCTTTAAATGAGAGTTACTGCATATAATATTATAATAGTTAACCTGTCATTGTATGAGATGCTGAGTCTGCCAGTACTCCACAGTTAGACTGCACCAGTGGGCCTCTGATGGTGACGAGTGAGCTCCCCCTGTTGGTCAGCGCAGCCTTTAGCGGAGCCACATGATTGAACTGGACAGAGGACAGACAGCCCACGAACCCTCTGGACGCTGCCTGCCGCACCTCCTCACTGAGGACCTCCTGTCCTGCTCAGATGGAGGACACAGATATACAGATACATGGAGACAGGAAATTACCAATACTTCACACTGGGGGTAATAGGAGAACTTACTGATGACTTTGCCCAATGTCAGGGATCTGATTAGGAGCAGCTCTGCATCGGATGACAGCGTGTACTTTCTGTGCACGTCCTGGTCGATCTGGTTGAAATCAAATAACAAGTCGGTTACAAGAAACGTACACCGAGATAACAGCTGCGTGGCATTTCCGAGACGCTATAGATTAGGAATTGTGTTGATGGCGAAAACATATCCAGCCGCAGTTAGCCATTAAGTGATTTAGACCGTTCTCTCCCCATCTCACACCGGTCTCTGATGCATCACTTGACACGATGACCTGCAATAAAGCACGCCGTGATTACACGCGCTGATGCTTAATAAGAGCGCCCGCCGTAACACCTATAGATCAGCTTTGTGGCAGCAGGAATAGATTTCATTTCAGTGAGAAATTGATTTCAGCCCGGCATGCATACAATTCATTTAACTGTTTAGCTATTTATGCCGTTTGGATAACATGCCAGAAATTGTAAACAGGTGGGATGGGTTTTTATTGCAAGATATGAGATAATTCAATATGTTGCTAGGAGTTTTCCTAATTATATTTTCACTTCGCATATTTTATGTGTTTTATGTTATTTAAAGGTGAGTAGCATTTCACAGCACAGTGGAATAATTTAGTTTCCTTCTGCCCTGGCTAAATCAAAGGTAAAAATAAAACATGGGATTTGAAATCCTCAGGGCCTTCACCTGACATGAATGGCTTTATATAGTGTTCATTATTTCAAATTAAATAGAATTCTTCAGACATAGTGTAACAAGCACATGCTTTGCTTTGGCATTGTTAACAAGTCTGATGTCTGACCAAGCTAAATTTAGCATTTTGTTCTTATAATAGTGATAAAGTTTGTAATAGGTCACGATTACAATTACACATAGATAAGAGGACTCACTCTCAATACTGTGGATGATTTAGGCTTTTAGGCACATTGACCTTTTATGTTGTATGAACATAAAATAATGTGGGTTTGGAAAGAGGCCGAGCCAGAAGAACTCAGGACTCCACAGTCTGTGGAGGTTCTTTTTACATTCATAAGACATAATATTATTGGCTAATAAAAATAATGTATATATATTTTAGCTATAATATCTTGCATATATATGTCTATAATATTTGTGTTCAAATGTAAATTTTGTTAGAAATAAAACAGGGTTAAACAATAGCTGATTGCACTGAAGTTTGTTAGCCTTTCATAGAAAGCAATTTAAGCTACAAAATTATCAAAACAAGTTTGGTAAAGCTATTTGGACTTTAAAATCACAGAGCATTCTGGACAACCACTGGAGAATATAAAATGAGGGGGTCTAATTATGCAGGTTCCCCAACTCATCAAATTGCTTCTTTTAGTTTGTCCTCTCTCTTTCACAGAGCCATTTCTGAACTAATAACTTGAACTCAGTGATGCATATAACGTCTGTCCACATGTTCTGAGTTTGGGTGTGTAGTTTCCCACCTGTATGTAAACATTGCTGCTGACTCTGTGGATGTGGACCCTGTGAAGTCGCCCGTCTGCTAGATTACTGGAGCTGGGACTGAGCACGTCTGGATTTATGCTCTTCTTCAGATGATACCAGATCTGCAGACTCCCTGGACACAAAGACACAATCTACACGTCATCCTTCAAAAAGACGGCACCAAACCATCTGTCTACTTCTTTAAAATACTTCAATGATAAAACATAAGGAAAAATTACACCTGTCCTCATATGCTCCTACTGCTTCATAAAACCCATAGACTGGCTGGTGGTGAAGTATAGTGCCAAAGTTTGAGAAAACTAAAGAAGTTCTGGAACTAGAAGCAAGAGGCAGCATAAGCAAGTAAAGACCTACTGATGGGTTTCAGTCACACAGTGGTGGAACGTAAAGTAAAATTGGTAAAGTACAGTACTTAGAAAATGTAGGTATCTGAATTTAGTAGATTTTAAAGTGGATGCATTTTATTTTATTTCCTTACATTTTTGAACAGGACTGAAGTAAGTATTTTTTTTAAATTACTGTTTGACCTGATGAAAAGGCTGAGGATTTGTTTGTAACACATTTGTTTTTTGAGCAAACAAAACAGAACAAAGGATTCAATTGTTTCTGTTGAACAAAATTCAGCACAAATCTTTATCAAAATCACTACATTTGAAGCTTTATAAGAGCTCGAAATCTCTGCAAAATACTTTTACTTTATACTCTTGAAGTACAGTTTGAAGAACAGCTACTTTAACATTTTTACTGAAGTATTTTTTTTTTACATGATACTTGTACTTTAATATTTCTTTGCTCTGGTATCTGAAAAAATGAGCCACTGCGGTCACATGATATTGTTCCAAACAGCTCAACTGATGGGACCTAATTTTATATTGCTTAAAATAAGGCTGCTTCAGTTAATTGGAATAATCGTGAATAATTGACAACTTAAATAATCACTGACTATTTTGATACCCATCATTGCTATCTGGAGTAAACAGACTAATATGTTAGTATAATATGTCATTTGCAATCAAAACAGGGCTTATCAGGACAAAAACACCATTATTTGGAATTTATTTTAAAAAGTACTCAAAAAGTATTAATTTACCCCTGAAAAATTTTCTTTTTCAAGGGTAAATGCTTTTTCATCCCAGAAACAAAATAATTCAAAAATATCAAATTGTTCTTTTACTAAATGGAATTAGCCATGTTTGGTATGTCCAAAGACATAAGACACAATTCTAAAGTGAGACTAAACACCTAACTCTGCCCACAACCACATTTCAAATAGAGCTGCTAAACTGGGCAGTACCTGGAGGATTAAAGAAAAGAGGGAGAGTGGAGGAGGGGTGAGGTCTGGACATATGAGGTTCAGTGTGATTGGTCTAGCAGGTACTTCATTTTGATCCATATTTGACCACAAAGCTGCAAATATAACTAGTTTACAATAAAATTGAAAAATAGGGACTAGGAACAGTACAATAGTATTAAAACACCTTATACACAATGGTAGCAAAAAAAGTTGATTTAGTATTCCACTTTAAGGATCACCAACAAAACTTTACTTCAACACTTCAAATTTCATAACCAAGAAATCCTGCCAAGCCCTTTGAATGCAAACTTTTACACAATACTGTCTGTATATCGAAGAAATATGGCCTTTTCCTTATAAATGGTCCGTCTTTATTTACGCCTCTACGGTTTCTGCTCAAGATATAAAAATATTTCTCTCTCTGCTCCTCACTTGCAAGTCAATATCTGCTCAGTGCTCCTCCCACACACACTCAGAGGCAGATCAGAGAGTGTGGAAGTATGCATTGTCAAGTGGCAATGGGTCAGTATTGAAATGAACAGTCGTTCCTATAGAGACGCTGTTTACGGAGACGTGGGTGGGGCTATAAGCATTATCATACGTGAGTTGTCAGGATCTGTTGGTGCTTTCTGTTTCATTTTAATAGATCCATTGCAAAAGACAGGAAAGGTGATGGAAGAGAATGGAGGAGGATGGCTTGAAAAGCAATGTTGAGATCATTTCACCCACCAGCCCATTTGGCAATATCTAGCTGTTAAAGGTCCTATATTACACAAAATAGACTCCTGTGAGCTTTAAGTCATGTTATAATGTTGTTACATCATCAAAAACAAACCTGGAATTGTATTTTGTACCATTCAGACATGATGGAATAACCCTTTATTGTTAGTCTGTCTATAGCTCCAAAGCTCAAAATGCTCTGTTCCACATTCTGATGTCATGTAGAGGTAGTTTTCAAATTAACAGCTACCTTTTACTTTTTGTTCAGTAGAGATTGGCAATTCCAGGGCTGAAATTATCCAAATGATTCTAGTGAGGGTGTATGGAGTTAATATATAGGAATATATGACATCACAAGGTGGAACAGGGTTTGAGAGAAGAATTATGAAGTAATATGAGCCCGTTAATATTTGTGCCATGAATTCTGACAGCTAGATACTACTCGGAAGCCTACAGTGGAAGGACCGGTAGGGTAAAAACAACCTGATCCATATGGAATGTTAGCTTTAAATTCCCTATAATGTTGTTTCTCAAATTGTGGTACATGGGGTGCATCTGTTAGTACCTCTACAGATACAGTATTTGTTTTATTTTCATTCGTCAGTATCTAAAACTACCATATACAGTCTCATGTTTAGCTTTAATTCAGGCTTAGTGAAGTCCTGGTATAGATAAAGTTTTACTCGAAAAAGGCAAATATTATTATACTTAGGTGGTACTTAGTGTGAAAGCTTTGAAAACCACTGCCCTGTAATGTTACATGCTTGTATGGGAGTTAGGATCTAATAATGTTATTTAAACTGAAGAATTTCCGTATACCTAATTTACCTAACAGAGTAGCACACCCACATCCTTACTGCGAACTTGCTAAGATGCAGTAGCACTATCAATACTCTTTTTAACACACTAATGATTTTACATAATAACCCACACAAGATGTTAGCAACAGCAAGTGTCTGGTACTAACAACCAACTACAAAAATACAATAATAATAGATCTATAAAGGGTTCACGGCTTCATTATAACTCAAAGACAACACTGCTAATGAAATTATCAGGAAGGCAGAGGCTAATTGCAAATAAATTATCTCTGTATGTGATTTTCAGCTAATTGTGGATCTTCTAATCACTGTCTAGCTCAACTCTTTGCGGCTCACCTTTGCGAATGGAATTTTAATACTGCCAAACTTAAACATTTGCTGAATATGTGTGTACTAATTAACACTTTAATATACAAAATTTTCACCAACGCTATCATCATACCATATATATTATCAGCTGGGTTTTACAACACAGGATACAGGGCAAAGGGCTCATTCAATTATTTCGCAGCAAGGTGAATATTTATACTCCCATGTTAACAATACCATTCAATTTAGCTCAGATATGCGTCCATGAACCCTCTTCCACTTTCAATGGCCAGTGAGCTGTGAGGTCAGGGACTTTAACTATATTCTACATTCACTGAAGCCCTTTGAACCTCGAACCAGTTCTCCTAACACAAGCACAGAACATTTTTAGATCAAGGCCATCAAACTGACCACAAGTATGGGTAGGCAATGTTGAAATAACAATATAAATGTTGATACTTTTTTATCAGTCCAATAGCATGATTCAGATAATAGAATGACTACTATCACTAAAATGTGCTGAAGTATGTCTGTAAAAAATGTACAGCACAAAGTGAATGGTCAGTAAATTTAACAGGAGCAGAAATATAACTCATAATCTCTAACTTTCAGTGAATGTATGTATATTACTGTGTTTCTACAACTAAATCTTGTATGTTATAGGTTGTTTACAATAAACATCTGTAGTGAAAAGTATATATTGGTGCTTATTAATTTTTGGATAAGTATACTTGATTATTTCTATTGCACATTGAGATGAATTAATTTATACATTTTAATCAAACAGGTTTTAAATACGGTGACTGAAGGCTACACAAGGATTTTAACAAAGTGTACTAATATAATTTTTTTTTTTTTAAACTTTTATTTCTAAAATACTGCTTTCTTTGCTAATAAAAGGTATTTTGTCATAAGTCTGAAAAGTACAGATAACAATAACAACAATTTAATAGGTAAGTCTTTAGTCACAACACTGCAGTTAAATAGGAAAGGTAATTTATGTGTAAAAATGTCCAAAATTGCATGTTTCGGGCATATAAAACCAAAAAATGATTGAGACATAACCAAGAAAACCAAGCTTGTAACCATTTCCTGGCTTTATTCTCCAGTAATTTACCCAGGAAACTGCAGGAAAACCTGAACCTGTTCTGTGAAAATGATTCCTGGGTCAGGCTGCATGTGTGACTGGGGCTTAAGGTAACATACGTGAACCAGTATTACAGCTTCCCATACCATTCCGGGCAAGTATGACGGCGATGTACTGCTGGCTGAAAGTGCTGAGGGTGAGCAGCATGGCCGGAGTCTGTGTGGTGCTGAAGCTAAACGCCATGTCCTCTCGGGCACGGCTCTGCGTCTCTGTGGAAACGCTGGAGGCCGGCGAGTTCCCCGTCTGCATCACCGAAAAGGGCTCCTGGAAGGTGTAGGTCACTGAGGACTCCCGGTCAAAGGACACCGACACCTCTGAGCACAAAAGAGAGGAGCAGATACTAAGAGCATTAGATACTGTATAAAGAGCTTAAAGGACCCATGTTACACTATTTTCTACATATAATGTTGTTCCTTCATTACAACCTGGAGTTGTGTTATGTTTCATTCAAACATATTTAACACATAAACCCTTCATATTTAGGCAGAGTTCTTCGACTCAAACTGAAAACATTCCACCTTGTGAAGTCATGTGGTCATACAGAAAGTGCTCCACTGTTTAAAACTTCTTACACCTTTAACAGAATTATCAATTTTGGATGCTTTCAGCCCAGAAATTGCCCATCGTTACTTAAAAAATAGAATAGGTAAAAAGTAAGTAATGAATTTGAAAACTACCACGACATGACATCACAACGTGGAATGGAGCATTTTGAGCTTTTGCGATATAGACAGACTAATAATAAAAGGTTACTCAAAGATGTGTGAATGAAACAAAACACACATTCAGGTATGTTTTTGAGGAGGTAACAACATTATAACACTCACAAGAGTCAGTTTTGTGTAATACGGAGTACAGGTTAGACTACTCATTTCACAAAAATTTTTTTGATTTTTTTTAAAGATTTGACTCAAAATCTTCCTGGATGGACATGAGCAGCAGACATGACATCCATCCTACCAACCATACCAACTACCTACCAATCAAAACTTGAATCAACTGCACAATGCTTATGAGTAAAAAATACAAATAAATGATAGCTTTAATTTTAAACTGCCCATATCTTGGCCCTGCATTTTAAATAGATTTTTAAAAATGAGCAAATATTAACAAACATGTTTATTATTATACATTTTTAAAAGAACTGTGGATTAAAAATATGGCTAGGAGCATCTGCGGGAGAAACATGTTCCACCGCATGATAGAGATGAGACAGAGTTTGTTTCTAACAGCAGGAATATGAAATGAACTAACATGAATACACTTTTAGTTGTTCTGGAGTTTCAGAAACTTCTTCTACCATATGGATCTGAATATTTATATAATTTAGTTACTGTATTTAAATAAGGCAACTATTTAGACCTTTAAGAGATACAATTGTTTTTCCTTTGAATACTGACCGATTGCATTTTAAGTATTAGGGTAAAAACACAGTGGTTTCCATATATTTAAATGTTTAACTTACAATTAGAGATGGACCAATATGCACTTTTTCATGACCAATGCTGATATCGACTGTTTAGACTCCAGAGAAATCGACAGCCGATAAGCTCTGCTGGTATTTTTGGGCTGATGTGTAGAACCGGTTAGTTAGTTAGGTTATTTTTCCCAAATTATTCAAATAAAATTTAGTACAAACTCACCTACAATGTTCTTTTACTACAAACTGTGTAGAGAGCAGTGTAGTCACATTTATGCAGTACTAAGGTGTTCAAACAAAGCTTTATGCATACATTCTTTATGCATATTTAGGCTGCTGCTTGGGCCAAACAAAATATCGGCTTCTGCTGGAGATTTATGGATGATAGCCGATATGCCAAAAAGGGCAAATACCTGCACGATATACAGTATCTCTACTAATAATCTTACTATAGTAGTAGCAGTATTTTGTTGGAAACCGACTGGGCGCTTTTTGACCTTGCTGACTGAAAGTACATTTGGTGGATTGAAATAATACATTATTCAAATTGTCTAATTTTGTTTTGTATTTTAGAAAGAATTAGCACAGCTGTCAATGTAATTAGTATTTTTTCTGCTTGTAAATGAACACATTTCACTAAGTCCTCCTGTTATTCTTCCATATTGCAGCTGGACTGTGCATGTGTGGCACGATCTGTGTGTGTGGATTTGGTGTTCTCACAGTGAGCGGCCGATAATCTGGTCTAATGCATTTTAAATGTTCTGGAGTCTGGAGCCAGGACAAGTATTAATTGCCTCTTGCATTTCTCCCATTTCCCTCGGACAGGCCTAACTGAATGACCCAGACAGTGATCGATGCTTTGTTTGCCATAATCAGCATTAATCTGCTCAAATAATGATATGAAGTGTGAAGCAGGAGCTGGCCGGTGCTTACCTAGTTCGCAGGTGGTCCCTCCATATGCCAACTGGGCAAAAACTAGTTTAAAGGAGGCAACATTGGGCATTTTTTTTTTTTTTTTTTTTTATATTGCAAAACTATGACATGCTAATAGTTATATAGTTTTAGACAAAGAACACCCAAGTACTAGATCAGCATTAATAAAGTAATGTAATAATATATATAATGAAAGGATAGTTTAGGGGGCTTCTTAAAGGTCCTATATTACACAAAATTGACTCTTTTGAGCTTTAAGCCAAGTTAATGTGTTGTGTTTTGTTTCATTCACACATGATTGATTAACCCTTTATTATGAGTCTGTCTACATTTCCAAAGCTCACAGTGGAGTGCTCCCTGTATTACCACACGGTATCACGAAGCAGAACAGTGTTTTCTGCTTGAGAGAAGAACTCAGCTCAGCCTAAATACTGTAATATGTCCCCTTTAACCTTATGGTCCATCAAGATACTGTATATGGCTATTCTGGGGTGCAATGATACATCGTTAAACATCAATCAACTGAAGTAGACTTGAGTGTTTTGAAAACCAATGTGTCATATTGTGTAATATTGTCATATTGTGCACTATTGTGATTGTACTGCAACATCTTTAGAGCTACTTCAATGTATTCTACAACAATATCCCCAAACAATATGAATCAAACCAAATCCATTATCATATTCTGACAAAACAAGGAATTTATACTCTTAGGAAGGATGATGCTTGCTGCACTAGAGCATAACATTTTACATAGCGTACTCCAATTGGGTGATTTTCTATTTTTGAAAGAAATATCCAAACAAAGTCCACAAATGTTGTAATTACAAAATGTTTTTGTTAGGTATTCACAAAATTGTGCATGTCATTGCACAATTCCAGTATGCACTACAAAACTCCATAGTAGGGATAGTGGTGGAGAATTAAGAAACAATTAACACATTTTATCATTGGTGTAATTTAATTTGTAATTTTACAGATTGTGGATTATTGAAACTCTAAAAGCAGGTTTGCTGCAAGTCAGTCTTTGCCAATACGGTGTCCAAACTTCCTCATGTGGGATCTGGAGCTCTATCGATCTTATTTCAAGTCAGAGCACTTCAAAGGCTTTTTCAACCAAGTGACACAATACTAGTGTATAATTTGTCATTTTAAAAGATAATTTCATTTTATAAATCAATAGATGAAGACTTTGCCTCTGTATCTTCAAATGTTTATAACACTGTGACATCTCACCTTGATCGCAGGTGGTGCCCCCGTATGCCGACTGGGAGCAATCACAGATGTACCCACTGCTCTTCTCTATGCACCTCCCTCTGTTGTGACACAAGCTGCTGGACCCACTGCAGTAACCGGGGCAACCAGAGCTCACTCCAGGCGTCATTTTGGCTCTCTCTTCCAGGTCAAAGTTCACACCATTGACGACAAGAGTCCGAATGCATCCCAGAAACCCTCTCTGCTGTGATGCTGTTCCCCCTGAACAAACAAGGAGGACATTACTTCTATCGAACGCTGTTGAGAAAAAATCTACAATTACTCAAATTTTTCATTAGGATTTATCATAAGCGTAAATTTAATTCGACTGTGCATCCTGGTTTGGCACTTGTGAGACCTCATTAAATATAAATGTACAATTATGTGTACAATTTGGACTAATGGCGTGCTGAAGAGCTATAGCAGTGTCACTAACTATCAGCGTGAGTGTGGCTTATGGGAAAGATAAAGCAGGAGTAAATATCTGTGTGTTAAACTGCACGCAAAGCAAAAGCAAAAATGGACGCCACATATAACACTGAGACTGTAATTAACTATATGCAGCTGTAGAATCCATCAGTGTAACAGGGACTGGAGACAAAGAAGCTGCAAGTGTTTGTGTGTGTGTGTGTGTGTCTGCCAAGTACTGCACTTTACAAACGAACCGTGGTGCGCTCATAAATAAGATATAACTGTTGTGATTTGAGCACCAGTAAACACACAAAGGGAACACACTTCTACTGTGGAGTCTGCCAAAAATAAAAATCTAAATTGAATACTAAGAAAACATTATTTCAACTTAAAATTCTGTACTTTTTTGACAACAATATAGCCTGTAATTAGAATGAGTCATTATTTATACTCTATGGGCTATAATTTCAAATACCGTAGCCTTTAGCAATAAGAAGGGATAAAGGAGTTTCAAAACCCACGCAGCTCTATGGCAACCATCTATTTTGTTTGTTTAATAGCCATTTAATAATACAGCTGTTGGCTTGACTGTATATTTACTCAAGTTACAGTCTATGCATGATCTATATATTGTTAATTAATATTCTACATCAGTACAATGCTAATAGATATGTAGTGATGCTATGTGGTTCCCTATAGTTCCTAATTGCCTGCCAGTTAATTGTAAACTAAACGTTTATGGCATTATTTTCTATTGGTCCATTTCTAATCTCCTCCACATATTGACAGTGACTATAATTTGGCCATTAACACATTTTAAAATACATTACACACTGTCTAAAACCACATTAGCTGAAATAAATTGGTTTAATCCAAGTCAAAGCCTGTGCTGATGTATTCACACATAGATATTACATTTGCTTTGTGAGAAAATGGATCATCTTGATAGACTGACACCTTTGCACTTCCTGCACATGAAAAAACTATTACGTTTTCACAAAATGATAAGTTACAGAGATTTGAAGAGCATTTTCTTTTGTCATTTCTATGTTCCTGATTAATTATTTTTCAATGAACTCTTGGGTTCACGGCACACAGCAGAAAATCACAATCACATAAAGAAACAAGTCTTTTGTAATGATATCTTTGTCCCTCCCAGTGTGTTATTAAGAAGACACTTAAATGTCAAAGGGGAAACAGGAATCTGTGAAACCAGACAGCTCCAGCACTACGAAAACAGTGGAATACATTAGTTATACCCAGTCGCATAAATGATGGCTACAGCACAGGTCTTGAATTTGTTTTTAGGGACTATTTGTGCACACATATTGAAGCACAGTCCGTATTGAGCATGAAGCCAGGAAATACAGCCGAACCATAATCAAAATATTGGCCACCAGCAATAACCAGAAAGGCGCCTCTGCAATTGGAGATAAAGAGAATACTGCAGCAACAACTTGTAATATCTGAGCGCTATCGTTTCTATTTTGGGATTTTTTGCACTTGAAAATCAAGCTACTACCACATGTTTGTTTATGTTTTATCTGATGAGGAGTGTGCTTATTAAGGAAGACCAATTTAGTTTATCTCTTTCAGCAATTCTGAAGTTTTGATTAATTTCACAGTATGTTTAATTGGCTAAGTGAAATAAGATATATCAGGAAAGAACATTTCAGTTGAGTTATGAGTAGTAGTAGATTTTGTTGTATTAAATTAACATTCACATTTGAATTCTGTATTTCAAGTTTTGTATGTGATGGTATTTTAAAGGACCTATATCACAATATTTTCTGATCTATGTTGTTTCCTCATCAAAAACATACCTGGAATTTTGTTTCTAAAAACACTCTGCTACACTGTGTTTTTAAACTCTACACACCTTCACTAGAATCATTTGGATGATTTCAGCCCTGGAATAGCTGATCTCTACTGAACTAAAGGTAAAATATAGCTGTTAACTTGAAAACTGCTTAATGCTTCACAAGGTCGAACAAGGCATTTTGAGCTTTCGAGATGACGACAGATTAATAATAAAGGATTACTCAAATATGTGTGAATTAAACAAAATACAACTCCAGGTATGTTTTTGATGATGCAACAAGATTATAACATGGCTCAAAGCTCACAAAAGTCAGTTTAGCGTAATATACGACCTTTAAATAAACACTTCAAATCATCTAAAGTAATTCATAACAGAAGGTGGTATGCACAGGTCTCTTTACTGACATTGAAGTCTATAAAGAACATCTCTGGAATGCCACAGTATCAGAGTTAGTGATTTCATTCTGTGCAATACAACAGCTCACATTTGACCTCAATGCTTCCATCTACCATCTATCTTTTACTTGTCTCAAAAACACAACCAGAAAAATCAATGTCTGTGTGTGCTATAGACCCACCCACGAAGAGCTGGCTGCTGAGGCGGAGGCGCAGGTAGCCCTCTGCTGGTGCCTCTCGGAAGCGCAGGGGCAGCTGGTCCACCTGCAGAGACGCCTCCTTCACGTTACGCTCGGCTCTCACGTAGTGCCACTGCCTGTCGTTCAGCGAGAGGTGGGACTTCACAGAGAGTACCGCTGGACCATTCCCCACGTCAAAGGAGAACGTCACCACAGAGGGTGCTGTAGAGTGACAAGAAATGTAAGATGGCGTTTAATATTTTTGAAATAATAATAATAATAATGTATGCTATTATAGTCACAGCTGCCCTGGGGACAGATGTGAGGTTGTCAATCTTTGCCATGGTCTCCTCCTAACACCACCAACACTCATGCACACACCACATTCATACTAGATAAAGGTGGGTGAACTGTCTTGCATAAAGAGACCATAACAAAACTTGGTCTGAGCAAGCATTGATTCTCCTACAGCTCTAACTACTGAGCCACAGCTGATCTAAAACTTGTATTTGTGTGTCAAAATTCAAAATTCCATGGTTATGTGACAACTGGAAAAGAGAAATTTGCAAATAGTTTATGTCTGAGCTTTTGACTCAGGCACACCTTAAATTCCACCGTGGTTCCGCAGTGAGTACCCTTGTAGCCAGAGTGAAATGGGCAGTGCCCATTAGGAAACACACAAGTGATTTGGGGCACTTTATAAGGAGGTACTCTTGGGCCAGTTGAGTCCCAGGCTGTAGAGCAGACCTGGGCATTGTACAGGTCCCGGCCCACATACGGCCCTTTGGCTGATTCTGATTGGCCTGTTTAAGATAATTTGGAATTACAAAATAGATATATTTTATCATTTTACCTCATGCATGAACTAAATCTGCATTGCTTTTATTTTACAGGTGCTATTTTTAAAGACATTTTTTATAAGGCAGCCTCACTTTTTCATTGCTTAGTCATAACATATACTCTTACCAGTCTTACCAGTTTGTCGAAACAATGCAATTTACTTTTTCATAAAGAAATACAATTAATATTATGCAAAATCCAGTTTAACATTTTGGCCCGGCCCTCCCGAATATTTTCTGTTTCTCATGTGACCCCATGGAAAAAAATAATTGCCCACCCTGCTGCAGAGAAAAGCCCAGGGCACAGTTTGAACTTACAAAAGCTATGGTACCAAACGTTTTTGGGTAAATGAGTAAAGTTTATGTTTTCCCTCAAAAAGTATATTGAAAAAGCAGCTACACATTTAAGTTGGGTTTATTTTCACTGTCTTTTAGAATTGTTTTGGTAAAATGTCATACAATTGTCAGCAATGTGCCAGTACTTTTGCAAAACTGTTCACTTATTAAGTCAATTTGTGAAAACTTGTTGCTGATTAGCCCAGATTTTAGCACTTTCCTTATAATTACCAGTACGGTTAAAGCTATTAAAAAAGATATAAAGATATAAACAACACAATTATTTGACCAGCTTTGACTATTCCCCCAACATGTGGTTAATAGTCAGGTCAGTGTGTGAACTTTTTAAAAAACCTTTGTCATCTCTTTTCTGATGCAATGTGATTCAATGCTGCTGAGAGACAGTGGATGAGTGTGGTTGGCCCTGACAGCTTGTCAATATTTCATGACGCTCGAGTAAAACACAAAGGGCTTAACATATTCAAGGAAACTGACTGCTTCCTCATTGAGCATATTAGCAAAGTCTCTGCGGCTGTGTACACCTCTGACGATCAATATCATAATGCAGAGGGGAATGTAAAGTAGTTTATCAAACCTGTTGGCAAAGTACAGACAACTTACAGCCACTGAATTCTTTATTAGTTAATAGTACATTAAAGCAAGAGTCTATAGGATAATACTATGAATACAAATGAACCACTGTACCTGAACGAAAAGCCAGACGCTAAAATAACTGCTTAAATAAAACCAGCTTTGTTGTATGTGATTCTGTTATGAGATATAGTCTGAGAAATAATATACACATAAGGTTATATTACCTAGAAAAACATTTCAAAACTTTGGAACATTGAAATTATGCAAGTTTGTGTAGGCTACAACTGTATATTTTCTTGTTTTGTGCTGTGCTCCAGTTTGTATAACTGAAATTCATTCCCTTTAAATCGTATTTATTTTAAGCTTAGAAACCCATTACGTCAGCCCAGCAGATTTTGTTGAGGTCCTTACTTATTTATGACCCGACTGTGTTTATTAAAGGCTTTGCTCTCCTCTACTCCTGGAAGAAGGAAATATTTGTTACATTTCATATGACAGCACGACAGCAGAGAGCAGTGTGCCATTTGGATCAGACCGTACGGTTAGACCTGGCAGGTTGGGGAAATTAAACTGTCAACATCAACCTGCCACTTTACACACAAAAGGAGGAAGTATCACAGGGCTATTCTTGTACAGGTATATCTGTGTGAGCGAGGAGGTCTTTGTACTCACAGCTCAGCTCCACTCGAATGAAGTGCTTGAGGCCCAGGTTTTCCAGAAAGACTCCAGACGGGGAGCTGGTCTTGAAGTAGAAGGAGATATCGGATGCTAGCTCAGCCTGAAGAGTGGGGAAGTAGAGGTACGATGACTCCTGGTAGAAGGAAGCGGCATTCCACAATGTCTCTGCAAGGGAAGAGATAGAGAATGTGAATGTGCATGCTTTAAGATGTGTAAATATAGTCTGTGAACCTCTATGTAGTAATATGTTATATAAATATTACAGACAATATGATGGAAAAATGTAATCATCAAAAGCTGTGTTATGTGAATAATGTTGAGAGTAGAGATTGACTAATATAGGTTTTTCTATAGCTGATGCAATACCGATATTTTTGGGGCTCATTTGGATTATTTTCTACAAATTCTGTTATCAAAATTTTACTATAAACTCATCCACAGCCCTTTTTTACCACAAACTTTTAAATAAAGCTTTATGTGTACTTTTTAGGCAGAAAGTTGGGCAAAACAAAACAGCCTGTAATTTAAGACTGATAGCAGATATTAAAGAAGGTTTCATCTGTGGTCATCTGAACTCTGTTTTTGGGATGAAGACATTTGAGGTCTGATCCAGAAGCCATTTTCAATTGATGGAACTGGCTTGAACATCATTATGGGTCGTTATGGTTCTACTGATGAATAATGTTAGTTGTAAACAAGGGCAGTTTCACTCTAAAACTGCTCCATTTGGATTTAGGTACCCACAATAAGACAGGAGTGAGCCAGAATCCAAACATTACCAAGAAAAAAACAGGGCCAAAACAAGGATAAATTAGAACTAAAATTGAGAAAATGAAACAGAATTTCTTGAGAATGTTAAGTCAAACATTTTGAGCATTGAAAAGAAAACAGTCTCTCTGAAAAGCTATGATATTTCTTTTCTTGCTATACAGATATTGTTGCATGAGCTAATATAACAATAACACAAATTTTCTGTAATAATGTTGTGACAGACTGTTAGGATAGCTATTTGATCTTTCTGGACTGTAGATTTTCTGTATTAGAAAATACAGAAATATACGGTGGCTATTCTGTTACACTTTGTGTAAACAATCATCAACAATTCTGCAAAATGTGAAGACTTTACTCAATCAATGCATGTTTTATTTAATTGCTTTTATGAAGTCTTGTATGCTTCAGGGAATCACAGTAAACTATTACAGCAATAAAGTAATTATGATATATTAGCAATGCAATAACAAAGGAAATAATGTACACATTTACATTAAGTTGTTAAGTCTAGTTAATTAGGAATAAAACTGCATTGATTTACGCATACAATAGATTACAAGCTAAATTTCAAAGCATATCTGCTGCAACCCAGTTAGTGTATAACTGCTTTTCCATGGTTATAGAACAGTGTGATGTACCGCACTGGGCAGAGATAAGGGCCTCAATTTTCTTCATCCAAAGTTTGTGAAGAAACTCTTTTATAGACCACGTCTATCCTTGGTCCAAATGCCCCCATTTAAAATCCATTAGATAACATTATGCTACATTTATTTGGACAGTTGTGCCCAATACCACAGAGTAAGTGCACTTAAAACTCTTTGGAAACAAGAGGTAGGCATCATCCTAAATCGTGTCCATTAAAAAAAAATATATAAGTGCCCCAGAGTCTGCACCAAGATAGTTCTTTATTTACTTGGGGAGCAAGATCAATAGATATTTGATTTGATGTGCTTTTGGATAGGACAGTTCATCCAGATGAACATACATAATGCACATGCTGTAAACATGTCAGATTGTAGCCATGGGCTAATTTCCATCTGTTGTCCAATATTCATTCTCACTGTCATTGGAAGCACAGTGGCCGAAATGTCTGCAAGGACACAATAGCAGTCGGCACTAGACAGAGTGAGGATTAATCCACCAATGAGTCACTGCCGCCCCTCTACGGCACCTGGTATTCCCAGTGGTCTCCCATCCAGTACTACCCAAGTCCAACCCATGGATACTGATTATAGTCTATGTACATTAAAGGACCAAAAGTGATAATGAAACTGAAGAATCTGAAATACGATGCTTTGTATACAGAAATGACCAGGCCTGTTGTTAGCTGTATTACAGCTATTTTTCTCTGTTGTATCTATCATTGTTTCCACTCTTGTGATTTCTGGATCTGTCCATCTTAAACCACAAAAGTTTCTGTGCCCCTTGGACTGAGGTGATCACCTACTGTCTCCATAGCACCGTAGCGGGCCCACGTGGAGAACCGCCTGCGCCCCCGTACGGTTGGTGTCTCCAATCACCATCTGGGTCACAGGCAGGTGCTCCTTATACGAGAGCACCCCAGAATCATTAGCCCTGTGAGAGAGGAGGGAGAAAAATGAATGAATGAGATGGAGAGAGAGAGAGAGAAAGAGAGAGAGAGAGAAAGAATGAGAAAGAGAGAGAGCTGAGACAAAGAAATAGAGAGATAGATAGACAGACAGAGAGAGAGAAAGAGAGGAGAGGCTTCAGGGTGCAACGCTTTTATTATGAAAGTCCAGATAACCGTGCCCATTCCTCTGCATTAGCCTCGAACGCTCAGTAAACACATTCAAATGGGCACAATCTATCACAAACAGACAAGAGCCGGTGGAAATATGCGAACAGAGCTCAACGTGAGGAAGGCGCGCTGTGAATTATCATCCCCTCAATACAATACGCCTTTGTTTTTCCATTCAATGCCATGAAAATGTGATTAGTTTAAATGGAGCTATAACGCACTGTACATATAATTCAATTGGCAGTGAACACAAGAATATGAGATTAAAGACATTATGGTGTGTGATGTGGTGGTTTACACACAACAGTGGATTATGAAAAATGTGGTTACTGCAATGGTACGAACATGCATTCCAAGATAAGAAGCTAATCTGTGTATTTACTTAACACATTTACAACATCCTCTAAGACTTGTACTTTTTTTAATGCAAGAGTATTCCCCCCATGCATCCAGTAGATTTATATGCCAATCAAATATTGTCTTATGTTTTTTCATTTTCTTGAATGTTGTATTTCGAAACATGGAATATTTAAACTTTTGTATGTACACAGCGTTGCTCTGCTCTGGCCAATTACTTTACAGAAAATTGATTCTAAGGGCACATTCACATTTGCACACATATATAAAAAATGAGCCTACACTGGGACTAAGCCACAACTAAACCAGGACAGAACCAAACCAAGTCCACGTCAGGATTAAACCAAGACCAGACCAGAACCAAACCAGGAAAATGTGCTCAACAGTAGCTATTAATAGTGGCTAAACTAAATGTAATATTGTTATCAGGGTTAAACAGTTTGCACATAATTAAAGTATGGGGGATAATCATGTTATTTTGATTGATTGTCCTTGCACCAAAACCAATCGTGTCATATTAAATACCATGTTTCTCTGTCGGCGTCGCAGTTGCAGAAGTAGTTCATGTCCGCACAGTTCTCCTCCAGGCTGCACGAGCACTGCTGCACCCCAGGCAGGAAGCCCCCCCAGTAGCTCCGCCTCTCTCCTCCACGGTCCAGCCACCAGGACAGGGGGCTGCCATCTGAGCATAACACAATACACACAGGAGTGTAAGACACATACTACTGCTACTGCCTGAAAACTCATGTCTAACCCTAGCCCTTATTTCATTTTTTTTTTTTCAAATCATTACTTAAAAGATTATAATTAAAATTTTATTTTAGCTCCAACTATTTAAAACATTTCTTCTATAAATTTCTGAAAAAAAAAAAGCCATTGAATCTTATTTATAAATGTTTAGCTACCTAATGCAGTCTTAAGTTAATAAAAAATAATATTAAGATATCGATAAAGTTTATCCCACCTACCATGTCTGGTATTAGTTCTTTATTGCATTTTAAGCCTGTGGTCTTTCTGTATTTTGGCCCTAGTCCCAGAACAGTAATGACAATTCCTACAACAGATTTGTCAGACTTGTCAGGATTTTCAGATGCTTGTAGGGAAACAAACTGGCCTATGCTCTGTCTTCTCATTTAGCGCTCAGCATTGCTGTAATGTGGATTAATATGTTTTTTTTATTGCCTCAGGCTACCTGTCATACTGCTAGCATTATAGCTTAAATTTATCTTTCTGTTTGCAAGTAGACAGTTGTAGGTAAACAGGAAGTGAAAGATACATAGTCCATTATATTAGAATAGACTGTCATACATTAAGTTATTTTTTAAAATGTATACTATCTTCAAAAGCTACCACAATAAAATATCCTCTCAAGCTTTGCTCTTTATGTACCACTATATACCAGTGGAAGTATTAATGTTGAACACCTTTCTGTTTAATAGTGTAAAGTGTATAACATCTTTCAGAACAGCTTAAACAATAGTGGAGCTAAGTTCTTTTGGAACATCTACGTTGTGCACATCGAGATTCTCTTCTGTGTTACACAGAAGTCTTGTTAAGAGTCCATCATCCCCTCTCCTATGGAAGTTTTCTGGATGCTTTATTGATTGACCCGGAGATTACATTTGGCCCAGACCCAACTAACAATGAGGAGTCTCTCAGTGACACGCTCATTCACCAGCCTGATGCAATGTCCCCACCCAGTCCAACAAGCATCATATCAAAGATAATTTTGGTGTTACACCATACTTCAGAGAAATTATATGAGCTTTTTCAGATGACATACTTAGCAAAACTAAGAGAAGGATAGTGGAGCAGGTTTACTCAAAGATGGTGTACCCTAGGAACCACATATAAAGCCCCCCTCCTGGGGTAATCTTAGTTTCTAGTTTCAGGCCTCAAATTACTATTTTGTTCCCCACTTGGTATTCACAAATTAACCAAACTGTTCCCACGAAATACCCAAATTGTTTTGTCGAATTAAGAAATCGGAGCTTACGCACTATATGGCTTGGGCATGTGGCTAAACAAACGTTGGACTTACTCCTCATTTAAAAAGAGCTGGAGAGAAATGGCAGCATTTAAGCCTACATCCACATGTTTTAACTACATAGACACTGTTCAGTCATATCAGTGGGGGGTTTAAAGTTATGTGAGTTTATTATTGTGTAATTAATATAATGCCTGATGAGCTAGTCTGCTAAAACTACCCAATGCACTGCATTTCAATAAACACTTATACATAGCCCTTCATCCCAGCTGCTGAAAGTGTATTTTAGAACAATTACTTTATATGGGACTATTTAGGCTGCAATCTCATGTGCAGCTGCAGGTGAATGCAGCGCCAACTCAAAGTTTAGATCTGACTGATCAACAACAACTGTCTTTCCCACAAATTAGGGCATAACCAGTGATTGCCAACCAGTAGGACACACCCTTGCTCTAGCCGTTGCTTCTGTTGTGCTCATTTTCACTATTTCATTTTAGAATGTGCACATTTCATTCCAAAAAACACTGTACAAAATGTATAACATAAGCTACTGTACATGAATATGTGACCATCCATAGGCAAATCTTAGTTTACAACAATATACTTAAAATGCCCAGCCATAACATTTTTGTTGGGATTTTTTTTTTCTCTCTAAGTAGGGCTCTTAAACCAATTTGCATATAGTTTGACATTTCTTTTGAGTCCAGTGCCTTTTCTGCTACTACTGTCTTGGCAAAAACACTAAACTCACATACGTACCAGAGCCTTCACTGCTGGTTTGGTGGAGTGATGGTACTGCGTAAGGTTTAGCCTCTACTGCCAACCTCATTGTGCATCTTCCCTGATATTTTTCACTAGCATCTGAGGGTCAGACGTTGTAGTGAAAATTTCAGGCTTTACTGAGCACAAGCATAGTGATGAAGGCCAAATTGTAATTCATGTCGTTGACCTTTAAAGCTAAGTTGCCTGCGTATACTCATTAAAACTGTAAATCTAGGCCAGAAAACTAGACTAGTACCATGCAAAAGCAACACAAATGCACAAGTTAGATCTGAATATTTGAATAATTATTAAGAAATAACCAGACAAAGCTGATTAAAAGTCATCCCACGGCAGGAGAGCTGGTGCTGCCTTACAAACCAGTTCTTTTGCGTTCATGGCAGGGAGTGAATCGTAATGTGTTATTTTCACAACAGATGAAGTCATTGTTTGCTGCTTGTGTGTCTGCGTGACGCCTGGCTGCCTGTAAGTGTCAATAAGGCAGCGGAGGAGCTATAAAGACACGATTCATTAGCTGCACTATGAGCTTAAGTAGCCTGGCCTCAATCATCTGTCACACCGCGTGCCCCTGCATTGTGGATGAGACCGACGAGCAGGAAGAAAGCCATTACGCTACATGCCACTATACATAATCAAGTGTCATAGGGAGCGTCTCTGTGGTCGCCTCCTGGCATATATTATGGCTACGAAGATAACTTTATGTATGAAAACGCATCAGCCATATTATTGTTATAGAGAAGAAACAATGACCTGCTTTTCAGTAATGAGCTATTTTAGATTCAGCTTGGTATAAAAATATGTGGCACTACTGATCGCGATGTGTGGCGTTCTCCAAACGGGATCTGATGGCCGTCCACTAACAAGCCAATCTATTAGAAATGGTGTGTGTGTATGAGCAGGGTTCTTACGAAACGTTGGTATGCAGGAGAGGGAGGGTTTTTATTTACACTCAAATATCACATGGCTCATTTACAGGTAAATGATGAAGACTGACTTGCAAAAGACACATCCTCTTCACACACATACTGTATCTTATGGGTAGAATTGAATGCACTTAAAGGTAAAATATGCAATTTTGTGGAGGTCAGGAGATACGTCACTACTATTACTACTACTTTTACTACTGCTAATAAATACCAGTACTTTTTCTTCGAAGAATTGGGACACAGTGCTTTAAAGGGCCCATATTCTTCTATTTTTTGATCTGTTCTAATGTTGTTTCCTCATCAAAAACATACCTGGAGTTGTGTTTTGTTTCATTCACACATGTTTAACACACAAATTCTGCATATTTAGACTTGAGTTTTTCTCTCAAACTGAAAACACTCAACCTTATGATGTCATGTGATAATACATGAAGTGATCCATGTACCTTCACTAGAATCATTTAGATGATTTCAACCCTGGAATTTCTAATCAATACTAAACAAAAGGAAAAAAAGGATAAAAGGTAGCTGTTAAGCTGAAAACTACCACTGCATGACATCACAGGGTGGAGCACAGCATTTTAGACAGCCTAATAATAAAGGGTTACTCAAGTGTGTGTGAATGAAACAAAACAACAACTCCAGGTATGTTTTTAATGGGGTTACAACATCGCTAGAATCAATTTTGTTTAATATAGGACCTTTAAAAAAATATTCTGCATTCATCCAGAAGAAGACAACAAAGCTCCGGTCACAGCCCTGTCACCACACAGCAGGTAGGAGCAAGTTGATAAGAAAAAAAATTAGTCTTTTTCATTCAGTTACAATCATAAAGTTTCACAGGAGTTATCTTATCTACCCTCAAAATCTATAATTAAGTTGTTGTGTGGTGAGGGCATGGCAGCAGGAAACAGCAGAGATTTTGAAGACAAACTAAAGGAAGCATCTGACAGTGTACAGTCTCAATGAAATATGTGCTTTTGTACTCGCTACCACTGTGAGATAACCTCTTCCTATTATCATTTTACAAGGAAAATTATGACCCCAACTATAAGCATGGAAAATAAGTAAAACATTTGTAAACAGTAAGTAAAAGCCAAGTGTGTCAAGTTAAATTTGTTTTACAAGGTTATTTTTCCCATTCTTCAATAGAACACCCCTGGATGTTCTTAAAGTTCCACTCAGTAATTTTTCTGCATAAAATATGTATTTTTACTGTAAGCAGTGTGTCATCTCCACAGTTCTGACCTGTAACTTGGCTGGGTGGTAACATTCTGCTTGTTTCCATGGAGAGAGATAAGTCTAATGCCATACTGTGGAACATTCCAGACAAGCTATGTTCACATTCTCAAATTCTAACATTCTAAAGATGCTGAATATCACTGTATAAACATTTCATATTTAGATGGCAGCTGAAATGATATAATAAGAAATCAGTGAGGGCAGTAGACATTATACCAATGGTGGCAACTGATGTATTGTAAACAACAGAATCTATTGATTGTATCTTCTATAGTGCCATATCAAAACAGACACACTCATAAATAAAATAGACAGTAAATCTCACTGTTACCTCTGGAAGTATTATATATCCCCAGCTTCTATCATATTTCTGACACTGTGGGTAATGTAATGGTCTGTTATTGGGAGGTTCTGGTCCTGGTTAGAGCTATTGCACTGATCCCAGTAATTGGTAGAAGGTGGCCTGCTCTTGTCAACATTTTACTCTGTTTGCTCCTTGCATTCAAAGATGTGCTGCTGGAAAACTGGTGAATGCAAATTGGCCATGGTTAAATGAATGTGAGAGTTAAAGGTTTCCACTGAGCGCCTCTGGGTCAGCTGTGTTACTAACTGGTCACACATGAGGTGGACAGGCATCAGCCAACTGTGACCACTAATTGTAACAAGCAGAAAAACAGGAAGTGTAAAATGGACAAAATATGTATATGGATTTTTACGTTCTGGAGCACATAGCAACATAGCATAGGCTACATAATAAGAATAAGAATAAGAATAATCAAAATAAGAATCTTTGCTCACTACTATGTAACAAAGTACGTACATTAGGGCTGTAGGATTTTAGTTGTTTCATTGATTAATTGGCCGATGGTGTCTTAGTTGCTCAAAATTTGTATTAGTCAAGAAATAATGTCATCTAGATTATATATGGGATAAATGGGACAACCGCATAAAAGGAGAAGTGAGTGAATAAGTTGAAGATTTGGTATTTATAAAAAGGACCAATTAGGGGTTACTTTAGCTATAGCCCTAAAGTAAATAACTAAGAAAACAGATAGCACTTGAGTTTCCGTTGCGTCCTTGCCTGTCCTTGTACCAACCACAGCCTTGGTTTAGGACTCCACTCAGACGATGCGTGGGTTTACAAATAAGAAATGTCAATCAATACTTGTGAATTGGAGGTCAGACGTCTAGATATTGGCAGAACCAATGAGAAAATAAATACATACATCTCACTGTGATGTCAATGTCCACATTAAAAACCTGACACCCCCTGTTGTTTTATGGGCCAGCATTTTATCATTTCGCTCACATCTTCTACAACAGCCAGAGGTAACCAGGAAAAAAGTATGTTTGAAATCTTAAATGGCCATCTTGCACACACACATACAGGTACTGATGGGTTTGAGAGAATGGTGAGAAATTAGGACAGGTTCCAAAGCGATTAACTATATAAAATAAAATATTAAATCTATAAAATGGAAAAAAAAAAGTCCTCAAAATGTTGCATATAATACTTTTTATATTCTCAGTGTTACACAGATGAGCCACTAATCTGGATGTTAACTATTGTTGACTCTTTGAGGAAGACACTTGACAAAACCTGGCTCAAAAAGTGGAGATGGGTGCCTCCTCCTCACATGTTTCCCCTGCAGCATTGAAGAATGGATCCAATGCAGGTGACCAATTTACTCAATAAAGTATATGCCATAACCATAAAGTTAGATGAGACAAATGATCAAGATTGATTTTGGTTGCTTTGACCAATGCTCTGATCCAACTTTGTATTAACAGCCTTATAGTAAAATTGTACAAACATAACAGCACAATTTACAAATGTATAACACCAATACTATAGTTAAGTGCATAGTGATCTTCAAAATGTCCTTGAGTGACAACCAATATTGCGTTAACAAACCCTGCAAAGCCTCTAAACCTTTTTGACATTTTTTTTCTTTTATTTAATGCCAAATTCTAGCTGTCATCCTGTCCCTATCACACGTTTTTAAAATAAGATCTCGGCGGTAACCACACAGGGCTGGGATGTCCTACATTTGCCTCCCCCTGTGCTTTTCAAAGCCAACAATTGGTCATTTTCAGTCTGAGGATCTCAAATAACATAAAAGGATGATAAGGTGAACTTGAATCACGCTGTTAAATCCAACAAAAAGACAGAGCTAATCAAAAAGTGCAGGATTTCCAATGGCAGAATGAAACAGGAGCTCTCTGTTCACTCTGGTGTACAAAAGTGCCCAATTCAACAACAAAAATCCTTACATAATATAAGTCCTATTGTCAAGAAGTAAACACTATAAAACAAAGGATTAGATGTCAGATGTAATGTTTACCTATCCAGCAAAGTAAAGCAGATGTGACAAGTAGCCTTCAGCTGAAACTTGCTAAAGCTTTGTACAGACAGCAATCAGACATCAGGGGAAAATAGCATTCACACCTTTCTGTCAACATAGCAGATAAAAACACACTCAACAAGTTACAACTCGAAAACATAAATGACACTGTGGAAGTCAACAGTTATATCCCACAATGATTAAAACGTTCTGTATCTATTCATGTATCCTTGTATATAGGGCTGTGCAGTTAATAATAATCAAATCAAAATTGAAATCTGAATAACGGCAATTATCATATTATCAAATCAAAAGTTGCAATTATTTTGATAATAAATATCCTTCACAAACAAAACACCCAAACCTTTCTGAAACCAAAACAAAACTTCCTGTAATTTAGACCTAAACAAGTAAACAAGTACAGTAAACATGTATTCGTTTAGCAGTTCATATTATAATCAACTCTCAAATTTTAATGTTCCTGAGTGTGTTTAAAGGCCCATATTATGCTATTTTCTGATCTATGTTATAATGTTATTTCCTCATCAAAAGTTGTGTTGTGTTTGGTTTCACTTTGTTCCACCTTGTGATGTCGTGTGGAACAGGAAGTGCTCCAGTGTGTATTTAAACATACACCTTCACTAGAATCATGATTTTGATGATTTCAGGCAGCTGTTAACTTGAAAACTACCACTTCAGTACATTACAGGGTGGTACAGAGCATTTTGAGATTTTGAGATATAATAAAGAAGTACTCAAACATGCGTGAATGAAACAAAACACAACTCCAGGCATGTTTTTGAGAAGGTAACAACATTATAACAGCTGATTTTGGGCAATATAGGCCCCCTAATTTGTGCATTATGTACTGAATCCTGATTTGAAAGCATAAAGCCCAAATTCAATCACAGTACTTCAAATAAAGATAAAGTGTCTCTTTAATTTGCCTCTGTTTCTTTTAACATATCTCACTAGTAAGCAATCCTAATTACAGGCCTTCACAACACTATCTGACCTAAAAACAACTAATCAACAAAGCCAAGCAGTCACAATGTCCATGACAGAAGTAACAATTAAAACAAGCTCGACGTGTTTCTTTTGACTCCAAAGGAGAAACAAAGCCAGGATTAGTGCTTGCCTAAAGTCGATGAAGGTCATGAGCCACGCCAAGGCACCGGTCATTAGAGTGACCACAGGGGCTGCAGCTATTTGTAGACATCAATCAATACCATGTAAACCATCATTAGCACAGACATCTCCTTCATTATAGTCTCACGTGTCAGTAACAGATGACCTCACAATGAAAAAAAGTATACTTTGTTAAAGGAGACATCAAGCAAAATCGACTTTTCAGAGCTTTTAACCATGCTTTAATTGTTTTCCCTTCTCATCTTCCCACACACTGTTGTGATTACATTTACTTCAGTTAAATATTGTAAAGGAGCAAGTGGATATCAGTGCTACAGTTAGGAACAGGGAAATAATGATGCACGAGTATCATAGATTATAACTATAGCAGACATCATTTGCATTGGATGCCTTCTTTAACATTATAAACACATTAAAAGAAGACAATGACAATGCACGGCTGAAGCTTCAATACAGCTAATATTTTGAGTGTACAACTTCTTTTATTTAATTTTAGTACTTAGAAAACTACTGTAGTTAATAATTTTAAGACATGCAAAAAACTTTCATGGTAAAGAGAGAATATACCAAAATTGACTTTACCTTTGGAGTTGAAGAGGCGGGACCTCCTGCAGTTGTAGACCACTTCCTGTTGGCAGTGCTCAGAGCCCTCGACGATGGCCTGCAGTTGTTGAGTGGAGGTGCTGTAGTTGAGTTTCATAATGTGAGGCTTTAGGACAGAAGAGCCTTGAACTGTGACAGGAGCAGTGCTGTTGTGAGGTATCACTGTCCACACTCTTTCCTCTGAAATAAAAGTAAATAAAATATATTATTCCAAAGTATAATAAAATAACTAAACTATCTAAACTAATAATTTGTAGTGTAATGGTGGTAAAAGGAAAAAAAGAACTTCATGTTGGTAGTTTACTGAATAAAAACATTGCAAAACATTACACTAATTCCATGCAACTGTGCGACAGCCCTCTTTTCCTATATAAATGGTTAGTTTTCTCTTGAAGATGAGGTCCCGCGAGTGCAGCGTTCACAGCCTGTGACCACAAGAGCACAGCAGTGCTCTCCACATGAGTTGCACTTCTTAAAAATATGGGCCTGACACAGCAGCCTCAGTAGCTCCACGTGCAATCTGAGCAAGGCATAATGCTGCAGGTTTAAAAAGACACACCAGAAGACCTTTGAACTGATTTAGCCCAGAGCCATAACCAAGCACAGCACAGAAAAACAAAACTGCTCAGAGAAAGTGCTTATATTTTTATACTTCTATGCTCGCACACACTTTTGTGTCTCATTCTAATCGCAGACTCTGGCATTGAATGTTTTTTAGTAATTTTTTCTTGTTTTTCGAATCTGCAAGCATATGATACACAATTTTTGACCCATGCCCTTGACCCCCAACTGCCCAGCAAAAGGATAGTGTATGTCTGGGCACATAACAAAGAACCTTATCACAAGTGCTTACATCCATTTTAAAGTTTGGTCATTGGCCAGGTGAAAAGTCCTCCACTTTGAACAGAGTGGTTTGATGAGACTGTCCATTCCCCCTGCCCTTGGGATGTCACTGAGTAAATCCTGCCTTTACACCTCAATGGCACCATCACTTCTCCTCCTCGCACCAACTTTTTAGCACTTTTTGAAATTGGATGGCCGTGAATGGCATGTGGTGAAAATATAGAACAGTATGGACGTTTTTAAAAGTTATCAAGTTCACACATCACCAAGCATATCATCGCTAAGAAACTGTGTGTGGGCGACTATTATGATTTCTCAGTGGACAGAAAGTTAGAAAGTTGTTGTGGTTCAGATCAATCCAGCTCATAGTGTAAGTGAGTGGACAGTGGACTTTGAACTCCACAAAGTTGGAAAGAGTAAAAGAAGAAGTGATGACACCTGGAGTAATGCTGTCTCACCTGTCATGTTGCAGTACACCTGCGCAGGACCCAGGGGACCACTCCCATCAGGATCAATGGAGTAGAAGCCAGATGAGCTGCCTATCAGTTTGTATGCCTCACAAGATGCTTCATAGATGGCTGCGAAAAAAAACAAAAAAAACAAAACAAAGATACAAAAGTAAAGTTTTAAGTTTTTGTAAATAAATATTGCAACTCTTAAAAAATAACAAAAAACAAAGGGCTAACTCTAATAGATATCAAGTAAAGTATTTAGCAATAATAACATATTAAGAGCAATTTTTGGCTACTAGGTACAGCGTGCTTTAGTGCTGCTATAATAATTCAATAAAACATTATCACAACCACATTGTCACTAAGTATTTTTTCATAGATTCTGTTAAATACAGATGATTACCCAAAAGCGAAATCAGTTGCACATAAAAAGGTAAAATTGGGCTTTCTGTAAGTCAAAATTGCAACACTGAATCTTAATCAGAGCAGTTTTTGAGTAAATTGCTTGTACTCTATTCAAGAGACACTCTTCTGACTTGCAAATGGGAGAGCGTTTGGAAGCCTATAAACAAGAAATCAGTATTCTGGGGCACCCAAATCCAGCAGCTGTCTCCACTGTGCATATCAAGGAGAGAAGGGGTGCAGTAAGTCAAAAAAATGACACCCGCAAGGAAAAAACGTACTACATGCAAAGTCAGTGGAAAGTCATGGCAAAAAATAGATTTGAAATTTTAAAAGCAAGAATCTGGTGATGTTAAGGCTGTGTCAGGTAGAAAGTAGTGACATGCTGTTTCTACGCATTGACTAAAAAAGTGTGTCTGGGAGGGAGACAGGTGAAGACATCTGATGCTGATTCATGTAACACTAAGGCAGAGTGGATAAGGGCATGTATATCCAGGGAAGGGAGCAAGGAGGAGAGGAGGTGATGAAGTGCAACGCTCACAGTTGTGACAGGTGGCGCCGGAGTACCCCGTTCCAGAGCAGTCACAGGAGAAGGAGCTCCACGTTTGAGAGCAGCGGCCACCGTGTTCACACAGGTTTGGCAGACACCTGGGACGAGACAGAGGAGCAGGACTGAAGAATAGAGCCACACACCGAGTTCACTTTGTATACGCATGAATTTGCACAAAAGATGCTTCCACTACTTTTCATGGGTATGCACATACCAACAGACTAACAGAAGGAGCGCTGTAGAGTAGAGGGATGAGAGAAAGCCCCACCTACCTACCTCTCTCCTTAAACCATCTGTCACTAAACTCAACAGAACCTGCTCAAAGCACCACCTTTTCACAGAGCCTTGCTTAAACTTTGTGTTTAAAACTCCCCATTAAGTGTGTGTTAAAGTATGCATTTGATGTGTGTGGTCTTGAAGGTCCTATATTACACAAAATTAACTCTCGTGAGCTTAAGGCCATATTATAATGTTGTTACCTCCTAAAAAAATATACCTGGAGTTGTTCTTTTGTTTACATGTTTGAGTAACCCTTCATTATTTGTCTACATCTCCAAAGTTCAAAATGCTCTTTTCTACCTTGTGATGTCATGTAGTGGTAGTTTTCTAGTAAAAGACTAACTTTTACCTTTAGTTCAGACAGGCATTTGCAGGACTGTAATCAACCAAATGATTCTAGTAAATGTGTATGAGTTCAAAAACATGAATGAAACAAAAACAACTCCAGGTATGTTTTTGATGAGGAAACAGCTTTATAACATAGATGAGAAAATAGCGCAATATGGGCCCTTTAAATCTGACTTGAACAACTGTGCCTTATTCTCCCATGTTTTGTTAGATTCACTGCTACAAACACAGAAGCTTATACGAATAATACAACATTTCTATAGGTCCAAGCAGGCAATACCAAGCTATATTTCTTTGGACAGCATTTAGCAGCTGTACCAAAAATTAAGTATCTTCCCTGAACACTTTATATTAGCTGCCATCCCCTGTAGCACCCTGAAGCTTATTTAGTTAGAAACGTCTAATTGCCAGCAGCAAAGAATATAATTAATTTGGTATTTGTAAACACTTGTATTGTGGGAATTGAACAACTCAAACATTGTGTTTGCTTCAAGGTTATAAATGTTAATGGGATGATGACAGCAGGAGCATTTTAATTTTGTAAATTTTTACCAAAATGAATAATAAATGTTATAAATCAATGCTGGAGGTGAATGACAGCAATATAAAGATAATTTTTGATTAAAACCACTGTTAAAATGTTTTGACCTTTTCTACTGGATTCACAGGTCTGTTTATTTATTCATCCCAATGGCTCCTCTCACTTGTTTTTTGTTGTGATGTAAACCCTGGCTTGGGCCCTCATCGTAAAAAAGTCATTGTGTCTTTATTATGTGTTTGTGACGCTGGCACCCAAAAGCATGGAAAATGGGACTTTATACTGGCTGCCCTTGTCACCATTGAACGAGCTGACATATCTGTCTCTGTCCCTCTAAAAATAGTCTTCCCCATCACCTTCAGCCTGTTTATGGGATATTCGCCACAATAAGCGTTTCACAGAAAGTCCACACCACACTTGGTTGATTAATAGTCCCTTCCTCAAGCCTACTTGAGTTACACATAATTGCCGGCCTTTCAAGCGTGCATCTATAATTTCATACACTTTGAGCTCTCACCTATTAACTGCAGTGGAGCCCGCAAAACACGGATAAGGTTGCATTCACCAGTTTAATTACCATCAAAGCTATTCTGCTTTGTGGGTCGAACTTATGGCTCGTAAAATATCAGCACAATCTACCATAAAGACAGTAATTGAACAAAGGGAATATTCTTCTAGCTCAGTCTATAAATATATGTTCACATGTTGGTCAATGGTATTCATAGTTTGAAGATTTGTGGTCTAATCAATAGATCTTATTACAGAACGTAAAATACAATGGAAACTGGTAGACCCCCAAAGACTGATGGGGAGTTTTGACAGTGTGAGGGGTGAGAGCATTGGAGTGTGAAAATTCAATTCACTTTACATAACACAATTAACCTGGAGTTAATTTATTTTTTACTTAATGAAAAAATGGTAATTGCTTTTCAATATTGACTCTATATTCCAGGCAGTGATTGGAGAGAATAATTTTTGCTCCCAAGAAAGTACGTGCAAAACCATATGGGGTGGGATATTGCTTCATATTTATTACGCTTGTTGGTACCAGACAAAAAGCATGTTGGTGAAATCAAAGCATAATATATATGTAATATACACACTGCACAGTCAAAAGTTGGACACCAAACTTTTGACTGTGCTGTTTAAACATATGTACATGACCAGTCAAAAGTCTGAACACACCGATATATGAGAGGATTTGGTATGTATGTAAAAAAAAAAAAAAAGATGGCATATGGTGCGATGAGAAACTTTTATATGTGACAAGATCTTGTGCCACAAGATAGAGAAGAGTGAAGCTGAGTCTTTATTCTCTGTCTGTACATTTGGCACAGATGTGAAAGGGTTAGGTTACAGATCTTTGAACAGATGCTGTTGAAATAGCTCTCGGCCCAAGCCCATAAAGAATTTTAGCAACACTTTTGTCGACCACATGCTAAAATTTTGGTTATATTTTAATTTGACTCCCTCAAACATAAGGTACAGACTGTTTGACGGACTTTCTAATAGGGCTGTCTCTGAAGTGCCCTTCAAAGCCTCAGATCCATATGGTACTTCATTTTATCTGTTTTCAGCACCACTTCAAACGTGTAACTGAACCCTCAGTTGCTATGGTGACATGATTCTTGACTCATCACATGCCATAAAATTACAGCCTGTTCATTCAAAACTATATTTGTTTTGTCTTATCCTTTCTGATGTTGCCACAGCAAAGCACCATGCCTCAGCGTTCAGTTATTTACATGGTTTGCTGAAGGTTTTACATCGAGGCCTGTTCTGGAACTACAGTCTCTCTGTCTAGGCTTGGGTGTGGCACAAACTGACAACAGGGTAAATGTCTATAAAATATATCCTATTACTCAGCTGTGCCCACATAAAAGACTATCTCTCTCCATCCATCAGTGTGGTTTAGCCCAGTGACAGGACAGATGTTGTGCTGCCCATGCAATGACAGTGAGCCGTCTGTGCTGAAAACAGGTAATGTGAATGTGACAACAGAGCAGTGGCCTGCAGGCACATCCAGCAGTCTGCTCTCCTCCCTCTGCATGTGACATATACACACTGTTGTGTCAGTTATGTTTACAGAGCCCAAAGCTGTGCAGGGTAATGAGGTTAGCATGGCATGCAGGACAGTGGGGAGCAGCTTGTTAGCATAGTCCTCTGCCAGGGATGGTGTTACCAAGTTCCTGTTGCAATTTAATTGGATGATCCTGTCAGTGTGTTTTTCTCTCCAGGACAAGTTGTCAGTGACTTTTAGGCGGCTGTGCAGACAACACCCTGTCATCTCCGAATTAACAATGTGGCCACAAATGACTCTGCTGCCAGCTCAAACACCGCTCCACACACAGCTATTTCTGACACAGGACTGTTTGACTGAATGGTAAAATCTTCACTGCCGTTTCTCTATTTCTTCAAATAAAAGTTCACTCAACTTACCTGTCTCTTATATTGCATGTATGAAACTGAAGCTCATTATAATTTCCCAGCAGCCCTTGCTGTACGTGACTGAGGTCCATTGTCTGGCTGTTGATGAATATAAGCTGCAAACAGCCCTGGAAGGCTGGAGTGGTGCGCTGACACTCCACAGTGGGGCAGCCTGAGTGGTGAAAAATGCACACATGTAAATTCTCCATTATCATAATCTCTATTAACATAATATTACCATGCAAAACGGAAACACAAAGAGCTAATTATTTTACACATTGTACAGGGCTATTAGGGCTACAAAGCCACTCATGCTGAAACAATCATTGTAAATTACAAACACTGCTCCTAATACAGAAATACATCTAAATCATTACCAATGAAATATATCCCCACAGCCTTGGTGATATTGAGGAAAATATCCTAAAGGCAATTTTATCTGACTAATTTATCAGGAATGTGTGAACATGGTGGAAAATGTTGAGCCTGAAATTCAAGTACGGCACAAATGCACTGAACATGTACATGTAGAAACGGAATTTATATCACAGGTTTGTTTATTTTTATTATCTTGCTGTATTATAATTGAATTAACATATCTCCGACTCCCCACATAACATGTATCAAACACATATATTGATAAGTCTATGTATTACTGTTTAAAAACAAATCACTGAACTCTTCTGGCTGAACAGAGCCCACTTTAAGGTTAAGGGCTAAGGTTAAATTAAGGTTATGTGGGCTTTATTCATTATTCACCAACCTCCAAAATAGAAGTTTCCTTTGACTTCCAGTTTTTCCCATAATTCCACAGTGGAGGGGGGCTCCTTGTCTACTGATAAGGTGATCTGCAGGTTCTTTGAGTCCAAGCGTACAGAGTGCCACAGCCCATCATTCAGAGTGTGACCTACGAAAGAAACAAAATATATAAATATAAAAAAATATATAACTTAAATCAGCAGTGTTGAAAAAATCCTGATCAAACTGTGTTGAAATCCAAGTCAAGTAACTGATGACAATATGTGTATCATATAAATTGCTGTTATGTTACATTGTTTTGCTAGTATTAGATTTGCAAACAATCTATTGGGCACTAACACATGAAAGAAGAACTAAATAGAAATGCCAATACAAAAATCCCCTGCACTTCAATGTTTGTTTAGAGAGTTATTAAAAACACTGGATATTTAGTTGTGTTGCAGGGCATTCAAACGTCCAAGTAATTTGAATCCATTGCAATCTGACAAATGCGAGAAATCAAGAAGCAATTTTGGTTTTGATTGCCATGTGTGCAGCTCCTATGTTTGTGAAGTCAGATCTATTGCTTTTACTAGTTTATGTATTGGACCCTGCCATGTTTTCCAATTAAACCACTTATAAATATATGCTACTTGCAGTAGATGAGCACAACTTTGCACTCACTTGTTCTCACTTCTCTTGTCAACAGCTTATTAATTGCTTCATTCACTTGCATAAATCCCTGTATGAAACTTGTACAAAATAAATGGTAAAGGCCTTTCAGAAAGCTAGCATCTGAATAAGGTGCAATGTACTTCACAGATATAGTTAATGTTTTCCTTTCTGTGTCACGAAATGATGTATAGTCTAATTTCCATTTGAGATGTGCAGCACGTATCTGAGCACTTAACCTGTGGCCTGTCTGTTTTTTTATCTTCACACATACAAATAAAGTCATAATGACGCATAATGGGCAGAGATGCAAACGCGTGTTATGAATTTTTATAACAACTTTTTTTTCCTCCAATGACTGTTACTGCTGAATGTCATCATACCAATTGCTTTGAAGGCAATCCTGACTATCCAATCGTCTCCTGATAATCACAATAGTGTAATGTAGTTTCCATGGGTTCTCTTAGAAATTGTTTAAAGTCATCTTCTTCTGCACAATTCTGAACGAGGCCTAAAACAATGAAGTCTGGAAGCTCAATTCATCTGAGCCAAAAGGCATTTCTTTTTAATCAACGCTGACAACTAACCTCGCAGCTATCAAGAGGACAACGGCATGATAAAAAACCTGAGCCACACTTGTGCGCAGACTAAATTAGCATCTAAATGAGGCCAGGCTGTAGCTCCCAGACTCCACACGCTGGACATTTTTCACCTAAAAAAAAAAAAAAAAAAAGATTTTTCTAAAGCTCCAGGGAAAACTTGAGATTCTTGCTCAGACTGTGCTGATGCCTGTCGCTAACAGCAAGCTCTTTTATCCCAGAAGGATGTTAGTGCCAAAGGCGTTTTTTATACAGGCCATTGACTGTTTCATGGAATAACTACGGAAGCCTCTAGGGACAACTGCCAGGCGGCGTTTGGAGATCCTCGTCTTCTTAAGGTCATGTTTCCCTCGCCTCTGTCCAAACTTGTCAAATCAAGATGCCTAATTTGCTTTTAAAAAATCCCACAAGTATTGTATGTAAATCTCCCACAAGTTACAAAATAAAACATTTGTCTCGCCTTTTCCAGTCTGTTGCCTCCGGTAAATTTACATCAGACAATGTGTGTACTGTTGCTGTCTGGAGATGTTAGGCTTAAATTTAAATAATCCTCTGTTAGTCATTTCTGTGTCGGTGGACTAATGCTGTCACAATACAATTTCGATCAAATTTCAAACTTGATTGCGATACTAAGGAATAGGCTTGATACTCAGTACCAATACCTATACCACAGGGTAAGAAAAACACACATTCTTTAAACAACAGAAGGTAATTTTCAACCTTAAATCATAGTACTTTCTTTAATATTACATGTGGTATTATATCTATCTCTCAGTAGTCCAGGAAGTTTCCATAGTCGATGTGGTCTTAGTCAAAATCGCTCAAATCTGATTCTAGTCATTTCAGATATGTTTACAGTGAATCAATATAGTAAACATGGTGAGTGATGTTATTAATGCCTGGTTTAAAGGCTTCATATATTTTAGATTCAGTTTATGTACATCTTCCCTTATAACCTGTTTTACACAATAAACAATAATGGCAAGCTAGATCTTCCCAGAATCTACAAAGTTTAAAAGACATTTAGTACATGTATATATATTGTGCCAATACATTTGACCTTACTTTATGCATAAAATATAATATCTGACTCTATAAACGTTTTTTGAAGATTATGATGACTTTTGTTTTTCCACAGTGTAACGTTTGCTCATGAACTCTTGAGAGGTTTGCTTGGTTTCATTGTTGAACCTTTAATTAAAATCCAGACAAAGTTACAGAAATATACCTCAAGTTTCAAAACTATAAATTAAAAGTCAAAATCATACATCAAATTTCCTCAGTTTAATCATAATAAGTGCATCTAAACATTTTCACCCAGCATCAGAATTCCAACTCTGGATGTTAAGGGACAAAACAAAATCCCATATATCTCAATTGCAACACCTTAAAAATTCTGACTCCATTTGAGAAAAGTGCTGCACTCAGGTTAACCTTACAGCACAGTTCACACATAATAAGTAATGATCCTCTGAATGTCAATTACAATGCATAAAATAAAACCATTTATAGCCAATAAATATTTGATGGTATACCATTAGCAGCACTCATCGATGGAATATGTGAGTATCAGCATGCATTATTAAAGTCTACAAGTGTCAATGAGCAAGTAGAGTGTACTCACCAGTGAAGACTTCTGACTTCTGCCTGGCGGGGGTCTGCAAGGTCAAAAGTAGTCGAGAGTCACTGAGGCGTAGGTCCAGTCTTTGGGGGTCCGGACTCAGCGGCACAGATAGGAGCAGCCCATCTGCGTTCCACGTCCTAAAGTGGAAGTGCACTGAAAAGCTCCCCGGAGGAGCAGTTGTCGTGGGTGACGGGAGAGACAAGAAGCTGCTACTGGAGCTCAGGAAGGTGCAGGCGCCCAGCTGGGGCACGGAGCACTGGAAGGTGACGTTCCCCTGAGGAGGGCAAATCAAAGGCAGGATGTGAGTGTGAATGTAAACTTTGATTTGAACTGTTCTTTTCCCTTAAGTGCTTGTAAAGCTAATCAGATCATTGAATTTCTTTGATCTAATAGGGAATTCAGTGTGAACAAGTTTCAAAGTTGAATTGCAACCTGGCAAAACCTTATTTAGTACAAAGTTTACCTAATTGTTCTTGCTTAGTGAATCTGTTTTAAAATTTGTGTTAAATAGTGTAATCCTGGTTTAAACCAAGCAAACCCATATGTTATTCCAGTGGTGTGTGGTCAGACAATCAAGGCAAGCAGTACTTGACCAGTAAAATCTAAAATCATGTCTGTAGCTGTGGCTAGCTTCTGCTGTTTGAAGCATGGCTGAGGTCACCTTTACTGCACCCTACTGGCCACTGAGCAGACTGCAGAAAGTGCGGTTCTGAACTTCTCATTAACTTGTGTTGTTGTTGTGCTCTGCTACAGAGGCCTGGCTCCACATCTCTACATGCTCTTTTCCAACCGGAGAGGCCAGATAGTTGTTTTAGAGAATTGTACATGTATACTGAGGACACAGTAGGCTGAAATGGGACTCAAACAGGAATCTGGAGGAATTGGACATGTGAGGTGATTTCATGTATGTGCCCATGTGCAGCAGAAGATGACAACAACAGCTCCAACCTTCAACACTTGGGTCTAAAAGTAACTAGCTTTTAGCGACAAGTCATCATTTGCAAATTCTGCATTATAAGTTCATCTGTCTGACCAGTGCACCTTTCTGACCAGTGCACTGATGTCAGTATCTCATATCTTAGTTAGTATCTCTTACATATTCATAAATGTACATTTTGTGTAGCAAGTGCATTGCACATCTGTAAAGCTGCCATATGTCACCCATGATTTCTAGATGCATAATAATAATAATAATAATAACAGAGATAACAACAGGAATGAAGGTTCAGCTGCAGATACAAGATGTGGGAGTAGGGCAAATCTGTGAAGAAACAAATAGCCCATAAACAATGTGTCAAATACAGGGTGTCAAATACAGTCCAGTACATACAAATATTAATAAACTATGTAGGTCTAGACTTCTCTTAAAGCTCAGCATATGCATTTAATATTTCTATAAAAAATTACACTGTGCAATGTAGTTAGTATAAAAAGTGGTATCATTAAATTATCATCAACTAAAGATTGATGTCCACTTCAAGTCTGCTTGCCTACCTACAAAAGTGACCGCACGCTAGTGGGTTATTCTGATATATCTGATTTGGTTTCTTGTCATATTAAAATAGTAACTTGAATGTATTTAAGACAGTAAGGTCAGCATTATTGATTTATAAGGACATACAGGCTTATTTTTTTATGAAATGGGAATTCAAAAATAGCACTCTATATAGTACGTGCATCCAGTGAATTGTACTGCAGAGACTTTGGGTCAAAGCCATGAAGGTTATGTCTTAATGACACTCAGACTAAATGGAGTCTTTCTTGTGGTTACATTTGTCCTAAACCAACACATTCACTTTAAAAGGTAATAAAAGTTTCATTCAGATGTCTCAGTTTAATTTAGCACAGAGCAGAGGTGGTATTAGGTGTATGTGCCAAAGGCTGGGGTCACAGTCCTATCAGTGCTAAGCCTAGGGCAGCTTTAAGCAATCACCACTGTGTGCCTCTCAATCGCACTCCCTTCTTCTCCACCTCAGGGAAAGTGTCCCATTGAAATTCCATTACAGCCTCCATCATGGCCGCCGCCCTCGCCCCACCTCCTCTTGCAGCTGTCGGTAAAAGTCTTTTTAAAGCAGCAATCAGACTGGGAGAGGTAGGGAGGTGTCTGTGTGATCAGATGTGGCTTGTGGCACTTTGAATGGTCACTGTGATTTCTGTGAGAGAACGCTGAGCTGTTTAAAGCAATCCATTCACAGTTAGTGATAATGTCGCTGCTAAAATGACTTTGGGCCCTGGTCATTTGTAGAGTTAAAACTAAATCAAAGTTGGTAATCTGTTTAGACAGTTCAGCAAATGCTAACATGATTAAATGCTACTATAATGGATTGTGTACAGCTTGAGTGTGTCTACTCTCATCTGTTGCAATCTCAGCCTCAGTTGTAGTTGTAATACAAACAGGAGTGAAGATAATGATGCCAAGGCACTCTATACATTTACTTTGCAATCAGCTCCAAGATTGTGAAATAATATATATTGGTACCACTTAATAATAACTACTTTAATAGCAATAACAAAGGTCTTAGAATAGTTTATTAAGAATGATTAGGCTTAGTAACTACTTGAGTTAGGTTTTAGAAGTCTTAATTAAAGGTGCATTGTGTAACCTTTCTGGTAGAGGTTTTTCCCTGAATGTTCCACAGTATGGCATTTAATTTAAACTATCTTCATGGAGACAGGCAGCCACATCACTAGACCAATTTACAGGTCAGATCAGGTCAGATGAATGTTTTTGTTGTAGTTTTGAGAAATAAAAACTCCTATAATTGATTAAATGCAAGATATATTTGTTTGATGCCATACTGTGGAACATTCCAGGCAAAGCAATAACATCTCCATGGAGATAAACAGATGGCATACCCTCCACCAGAAAATTTACACAGTGTCTTATAAGTGTAGTGATTATATACTAAACATAATCATTATTTTATATACTATTTGTTCATTTTGAATTAAGTTTTTGTTCATGATTTATTTAGGCTAATTAATGCGCAGTATTATTATTAAGAGTTGTCTATATTTTTTTGACTGCTAATTGTTGTTCCTATGTACTGTGTATCTTTGGTTTTCATTGAAACTGAAACTCTTCTATAGGTACTGAACAGATCCAATCTTTGTTCAACAGCACAAAATGCATCCTGTCCTCCTATACGTGTATCTTTTTCAAATCTCTAAATCAATTTCCATACAGTACATGAAGGATCATGTAGCACTGTGCATTAACCTTTAACTCCTTATATAAGGTATACCGTGGTGCAATAAAACATAACACACTTAGAAGCTCAAGATAGAACATACCAACAAGTCTAAGCAGACAGAGATTGGCACAGTGTTGCTGGCTTAAACTCTACTTCAAAGGTGCATTGAGCAGCTTTTCTGGTGGAGAGTCCATCAAATGCTTTTCTCCACGAGGTGTTAATGCTTTGTCTGGAATGTTTCATAGCATGGCATTACATCTTTCTATCATCATGGAGACCTTCTTTTCTAGGCATTTTTGAGCTATAAAACTACCTGTAATTCAATAAATATAAGGTAGAACTGTTTAATGCCATACTGTGGAACATTCCAGGCAAAGAAATGACATTTCTCCAAACAAAAAGTTACATAGTGCACTTTTAAATGAATTGAGTTTCTTACAATACATTCATTATGCATTTTTATTTAAATTAATTCATAATAACACAATATTTTCTGTTGGAAAATTGGTATGGAAATCTATTCATTACACTTGGAGGACGATCATAAAAGGAAGCTTGGCTGAATTTTAGAAGTGAAATGGATGCAGGCAGAAGGAGCCCTCAAGGAGCTCTCAAAGTGCACACATCGTGATATGTAACCCGGCTCGGACAGTGGAGATGTTATCATGTGGACTCAAACTCACCACACTGTGTATCTGTGGCTTGCGTCTCTTGGCGAGGTCGATGATATTGATCCCGTTGTAGTATAAGTTCTCCATGCAGCCGTGGAAGTTTTTTCGGAGGAATGTACCAGGCTTACCGGGCAGAGGAATGCCACCAAAACTCAGCTGCAAGCACAGAAACATAGCACATAAAGACAATACATATAATGTACCACCATGTAAATAATAGTTGCAAATGACATTTTTCTGGACGTTTAAACCTTCATTTAATAGAGATGTAACAATAACCGAAATGTCGTGGTATCATATCGTCAAAAGTCTCACAATGATATTATGGGCTGTCACAATATATCGAATCACAAGTTTCTTTGCGTAAATGCATGGTTTTATCACATGGTTTTATAGCAACAGCGTATAAACATAGAGAACTACATATCCCATGATTCATTTCAGTGCAGACATGAAGAAATATGTTTTTTACTTGAATTCTTGGGATTATGACAGAAATAATTCACACCAAAATCTTGTCAAGGTATTTTAAAAGCAAAAAAGTGTCCCATCTTTAACTATTAGCCTCTTCAAAATATCGCAATAAATATCATACAATAAGATGCATATCATGATAATACTGTACTGTGAGATTTGGATATTGTTACTTTCCTCGAATATGACAATAAATGTTGCACCAAATGACTGGTCAAAGCATTTTATAATGTCAGTCTTGTTATTATAGATTATATTATAGATATCCCATGATATCGCAATAAATATCGTACGGTAAGGTTCATTCCGTGACAATATCGTATCGTGGGACTTGAATATCGTTACACCCCTATCATTTAACAAAATAAAGATGTTTCAGATTCAAGATTGTATTGTCACTGCCATAGGAAAAAAACAAAATTATGTTTAGAGCATCACGCACTGCATAGTTTTGATGTAAAGTGCAATACCAAAGGTGCAAGACCCCATCCCATCACCCCATTAATAACCCCAGTGTAAACACAATAAAAACTTCAGCCTATGCAATAAACAGTAACAGTGTCTGCCGCAGCATAAAGGGCAGATCAGAATTAAAGTGCATCACAGGGACATATAGTTAGATATTAGAGGTTGACTGATATGGGTTTTTCATGGCTGGTGCCGATACTGGTTGTTTAGAATCTGGAGCAACGGATCGCTGAAAAGCTCTGCCGATATTTATGGGCTGATATGTTGGACCAATTTTCATTATTTTCCACAAAGTACGCAAAACCACAGATCTGTAAGAGAGCTGCGTAGTCATATTTTGTGTATTAAAGTGTTGACATAAAGTTGTGTGTGTATTGTTAGGCAGCAGATTGACCAAAACAAAATATCGGTTTAGGCTGGAGATTTAAGGCCAGTGGCTGATATGCTAATAAGTGGAGTTGTTTGTCATTATACAACAATGCAAAGTTCAGTTCAAAGCATTGTACTGGTGAGTGTGGTTATTGTCCAGAGGGAGGCGGAGAGGGGAGGGGGGCCGGAGGATGCAGGCTCTTGGTCAGTGTGGTAGTTCTGACCTGTCGGGACCTGTATCTTCTAGTTGAGGGCAGCAGGCGGAGAAGCTGAAGAGCAAGGGGTGGTGCTGGTGGTTGCTAGGTAACAGTTATGGAAGCACCTTGGTGTATGTTGTATGTGCTGCCTGCTAGGTGAGATTTTTTAATAATATCTAGCATAATTTTGTTAACAATGTTTTATTTATTAGGAGTCTAACGCGTCACAAGCACTCTAACAGTTAATTGCTGTGTTCAGAATCAAAAGGTTAAGAAAGGTTTTTCATTTTTACTTGAAACATTAATATTTTTTTGTAATACCGTAACTTTTTCTTTTCATTTTTTTCTATTCAGGGATTGTCACCACACCAATATTGTGCAATAACTTTTAAATGTTAAGTTATAAATGAACTTATTACTTTATTCTGGCTTGGATGCACCGAAGATTCTAAATGGTCTGTGATCTCTTAGAGGTTATTATCTAATATTTAAGAAAAAGCCAGAGAGACCAGATGGTGAGATGGTTTGAACATGTGTTGAGGCGACATACAGTGTGCAACAAATGATTAAAAACATGTATAATCACTATCCTGGGAAAACAAACCAAAATATGAAAAAAAAAAAAAAATGGAACTTTCTGGATTATGGTTGAAATAAGTTAACTGATTAATCAGTAATAGAAATAATCATCAACAACTTTACTAATCAAATAATCGTTATCTGGTCTCCATCAAGAAAGCCTCAAGCATCATCTTTTTAGCTCAATCTCAGTGAAATTGAGTAAATATTCAATAGTTAAAGTCATTTTACAATCTAAACAATTAATCAATTAATCAAGAGAAGAGTTTACTGGTTTAGCAAAATCATCATTAGTTGCAGCCCTATTTTGTATGTAATAAATAAAGAGTATCAAGTGAGTTAGTATAAGAGAAAAGGATGAAGGAAGTATAGCTAAAAGAGTGGCCAGTTATTTAATGTAGCAACAACTGTGAGCGAACAAACTACGTAACACAACAGAGAAGCCTAAATATACAATGACTTTAATTCAGAGTGTGTATTTAGCTTTTACATAACTGAACAACGACAATAGAAGCCCTAGAGCATTTTGTGCACAAACTCAAGGACTTGTTTCACCCATCACTGTAATAAACACTGCATCCAAAGTAGTGCTTTTAGCCTTCACTTTGGACATACACTGCTGAGAGAACACGCAGCAAGAGGTGATTTTAAGAGTCTGACAAAGATTCTTTTTAGCTAGAATTAAAATCTAAATGTTACAGTAGATCCTAGTATTTAGCCAACACACAGCACAGCAGGACATGACACAGAAAACTTCGATCAGTCTGTCCAAGCTAAAGTTCCACAAACCATATTTAGATGTTAATACAAATGACCTATCACCATGCTCCTTGGCAGTTTAAAAAAACTGGAAAAAAAAAAAAAGGCTCAGTCTCACCAGTTGCTGTTTCACATGACATAACAGCATTCTATAGTCCAATATTATTTAATACAGTTGGGGGCTGTTGCAATGGATATTGATAAAATATTTTTTTAATATCAAGAGTAATAGTATAGTCAATATAATAATCAATAGGAAAAACTGGCTCTAGCCCCCCACCTGAGAGCATGACATCATCTGAAAACCACCTCTGTATTTTCTGTGTTTATATTGACAGACATTTACATTTACATATAGTAGACACATTTTAATCAGTCTGTGTTGTAATGTATCTTTGATCATATGACACCCTTCAATAATATCAGTACAAACTATGTTTGATATGAATTACATAAATGTAGCTTATATGAAAATAAAACCAGGTTTCAGTTTATTTGCCATTTGCTGCATAAAAATGGCAAAAGTTAAAAGTGCAGAGCGTTTATTCATTCAAAGCAGAAAAAAAACAACTATTACTGAGAGCAAATGAGAACACACTATTAATACATAATTTAGCAAAAATATGTAACAGTTAGTGACAAATGTGTGTTTTGTTGACAAATGTGTGAAAAAACTACTACAATATGAAATAAGACATATTTTGATTAAATTATCTTCTCCAAAGAAGAATGCGATCTTGACTCCGCTAACAGGATCCCGAATAAACACAGAGAAAAGGAAAATCATTTGTGCAGTCTCAACTCTGTCTTCCACGCTTAGTTTAGTTTTATCACGGCCAAAAGCAGGTCTAATCTATTAAAACCAGTTGTGACCTGATTTGAATTGAGAGCGTCTCACTGCCCTGGGCCCCCTCCCACTCACACACTCTGGACCTGAACACTGTCCGTCCTTAACACCAGCTCCTCCTCACTAATGCCTCTGAGGCCAAATGGGAACGAATCCCAGCAGGCTGCATCCTTCTCCAGTGTCCTGCAGGAGACATGGAACTGCTCCTTACAGCAACACAAAACTGCACTGAAAATGCCCAGTCTGCTTCAGTCTGAGTGGAGTTTTATGCTTAGAATAGAAATCAGCTGAAGTGAAAGTCCAATCTGAGAAAAAGTTTACAGTACTAGCTACACATAAAAATACATGAGATGAAACTGATGACCACAACACTCAACAAATGTATAGGGCAATATAAACAAATAAAAATAATTAAAAGAAAAATATTAATAAAAAATAATAAAATAATTATTATAAAAATAATAATAATAATAAAAAAAGAACAAAGAATAATAGAAATTCCCCAGATTTTTGCACATGATACTAATGGATAATTTAATATACTAAAGATAGAGTTAACATTACATAATTGCTATTATGGCTGGACATCACAGAACCCCTCAAGATTCCATAAGATACACAATATATGGCTCAGAATACAATATTATCAAAATACGGCGATACATGTGATAAACAATATATTGCACATGATACTGATATATTGCTGTTTTTTAAGAACCAAATGTAATTTAGCAACAATATTTCTTTGTTAAACCATTACTTGTCCAAAATTAATATGAAATGCATCTATTTTACTCATCAAAACAGTGAATATGTCAAGTGGATTGCATAAAAAAGTTTCCTCCCACTAAATAAGCAACAAAATTGTAGTGCCGTCACCTAAAAAGTGCAGTCCACGATAACGATACTGTATCACAAAATTTAATTCAGGAATATTTCTATATTCTTGCACATCCATTATTGCTATATTTGTCTTAGGAATAATATTATTTTATATATTTATTCCTTTATTACATATTGTTGTAAGTGTTTTCAATGAGCTGTATGAAATGATATCGGCCATACTGACACAGCATCATAGTATCAGTTCATTGAGGTCCTTTCCTCTCAGTGATTTTCTCTACATGATAACCATCTCAATAGAGCCTAATTGAACAGCTTTGGTGCCTATTGACTCTTCATGCCACCCCTTTCTACTGGAATATTAGGTTTCAGGTTGAACGCCCTACTGAGGATTGTATTGTTGAAGTGCAACCTCCTTTTCCAGTAAAGGATGGCTGTGTTCTTGGCAGTCGACTGGTCCTCAGAGACTTCAAAAATAACTTTACTTCAAGGTTCAGGCTCTCCTTTGTTCTATGGTAAAAGGTTCTCTTTCCATGAACTGTAACATTAATTGCTACATGCACTTGTTTAAACAGGTTTTGTGGGTCAGACCTCAAGGTTATGTGACTCTACTCTGATGTACTTACCAAAGGGGAAAGAATCAGTCCAAGCCTATGGTAATGCCAGACAATAAAGTGAAATGACTTTGAAAATATTACATAAATACATATTTTTACTATTAATGTGGCCTGCAACTGTGATTACTGCTTCTACAACAAAAGTAATTATAATGATTTTACTGCTGTCTGTACTTATATTATGCTTGGACCTATATTACACTATTTTGACACAGATTTATGTCATAATGTTGTTTCCTCATCAAAAACTTTTATGGAGTTGTATTTTGTTTCATTCACATATGTTTAAAAACAAAACCGACATAAAAAAAAAAAAAATTTTTCTTGTGGTAATACAGAAAGTGCAAAAGTGCTTCAGTGTGTTTCTTAACTCCATACACCTTCCCCAGAGTCATTTGTCATTTGGATGATTTCAGACCTGGAATTGCACATTTTTACTGAACTTAAGGTATTTTGAGCTTCGGAGATGTAGACAACTTAATAAGGGTATAATCAGTGATACTCAAACAAGTGTGAATTAAGCAAGACACAACTCTGGGTATGTTTTTGACAGTGTAACGGCATTAGAGCACAGCTTAAAAGAATACATTTTGTGTAATATAGGACTTTTTAATGTTAGAGACGTAACAATGGCTATGTCACCAAAAGTCAGGCAATATTAATATCGTCCTTTACATTCTATCCAGTCACAAGGTCCTCTGTTTAAAAGCACTGGTGTGTTGCAGCAGCATACTAAAAAAGCAGAGAACTACATTAACCATGGTCCTTTGCTCCATTTCAGTTCAGCCAGCAGGAAGAAATGACTCTTATTTAAACACTTAAACATCTTAATCTTCTGGAGTGTGACAGTAATGATAGCACTAAAGGCTTATTGGGCCATTTAAAAAGAGAAAAAGTAGCATTTCTACAATTTTCAAGCCACACAATAGTAAAGAATGTAGTGTGAGGTAAATACAAAGAGTCTACCATTTAAGGTTAAGGTTAAAGATGCACTATATAACTTTCCATCGCCTTTTTGTCTCCATGGAGATGTTATTGCTTTGCCTAATCCATTCTCTCCTATATGGCGACAAGGAGTTGAGGTCAGATCTGTGGAGGTGTTTTGATCAATTAAAGCTCCCATAATTGACATAAATGCAATATAGACATGTTTAATGCCATACTGTGAAACCTTCTAGACAAGGCAATTATATCTCCATGGAGACAAGTAGGTTGCACCCTTCACCAGAAAAGTTACATTGCGCACCTTTAAAGGACCAATATTAGACTATTTTCTGATCTATGTCATAATGTTGTTTTCTCATCAAAAACATACTGCTGAGTTGTTTTGTTTCATATGCATGTTTAATACACAAATGATGAATATTTAGGTTCTTCTCTCATACAAAACATGCTGTTCCACCTTGTGATGTCATGTGGTAATAAAGGAAGTGCTTCATTGTGACTTGAAACTCCACACACCCTCACTAGAATCATATGGATGATTTCAGATGATTTCAATTTCCAATCTCTACTAAACTAAAGATAAAAGGTAGCTGAAAACATGAAAACTACCGCTTCATGAAGAGAGCATTTTGAGCTTTGGAGACGTAGACAGACTAATAAATAAAGGATTACTCAAACATGGGTGAATGAAACAAAACACAACTTCAATTATGTTTTGGAGGAGGTAACTGCATTAAAACATGGCTTAAAGCTTACAAGAGTCAGTTTTGTGTAATATAGGATGCCCCTGTTTTATTGCCACTATTTTTTCCTCAATATTTAGACAATCCTTTAATGCCACAGGAGCATAAGAATTATTAGTCACCATTCACTAGAAAGCTTCTCCTTTTAGATTTAGTGTGCACTTGTTGTCCTCAGTCCTCACCTCATAGTCCACCTCCAGCGACTGGCCCTCTCCCCTGGTGGTGAAGCGGTGTGTGTGCGCGTCCACGCTGAGGTTGACCTGTTTGTTGAAGCGCTCAATCAAGACGGTGTGCCAGTGCTGGTCGTCCAGGAGACTGCCCACTGTCACGGCAACAAGTCTGCTGCTGCTGAACCTCTGCCTGCTACCGCTGCTGTCATCTGCAGAGAGAGAGGAGCACACAAAAACACTTTGACACCACGAAATGACTGAGGACAAGCAAGTCAGGGCCTGGACTCAGACTCAGGCAGCAGCTGTCCACACAAATGATGTACAGTGCAGAGAAAGAACCAGGCCATATGGGGAAGCTATACAGGCACAGTATATGGCACAGGAATTATTATCCTCTGGCATTCTGTAAACAAGAAAGCCATTACCAAACTGTCAATCAAATCTAAATCTATTAAACTGTTTGCTTCTACTGTTTTAGTGTAAACATTATGCATTTTTTTAGTCTTTCCATTTTTAGTCAGATTAATATTTACTTGCTGGGAAAAATGTTATATGGCAGATAGGGCAGGAAGAAAAGGAATCATGATCCCCCCCCCACAAATTGATGGATCTCTATTTTTGATTAGAATCTTCTTCCATCTTATTGAAAACATAGACATGTGAACTTCAGGTACAGAGGGCAAGGTGTCAGGATCACTACAGTTTTTATTTAGAGTTGACAAGGCTAATAATTCCAAAGAAAGTTTTGGAATGAGTTTGCACAATATTCATCCGAAAAGCATGCGTGTGTTACTGCAGAAACACGTGCACGTGTGTGCTACTGTTATCTGTAGAAATGTGGGTGATTTCTGTGTGCTAAATGAGGTCTCAAGTTTCACTCATAAATGGTGAGAAAACAGTTGTAACTTTCTTAACTTGGATTATAATGATAAGAAGCACCAGAGTTGAAAAGGTGAGAAGTTGCGGCTGGATCAGAGTGAGGGAGGAGGAGTGGGGGCAGATGGCTCCAGACACACAGAGGCATAGGGAAGGAGACACTGGAGTTTTGGTCAAATTCTACAGATTTACATTAAAACTTGTGAAACACAAGGACTAGTGAGGAGATAAACTGTTTCAACTCATCACTTGCTCACAGGGTGCAGAGAGCACAGCCTATGCCAAGCAGCTGTGGCATTTCAGAGGTAAACATTAGTGCCCAATGGTTGTTCTGTAGCCATTCATTTATTTCACTTTTTCACATAGCAGTCTGACAATTGAAGGCTAAGAAAATGTCATTGTTGAAATGACATTTTATTACTAAGAATTTAAAACAACACCATGTAACTTTTGGAGGTGGCATACTGTAGAATATTACAGTCAAATAAGATTCAGTTTTGTGCAGATACAAGCCCACACACAGTTAAGATGCATGTTTGTCTTAGCTTTTCAGTGCAATAAAAACATCCCATGTTAAAAAAACAAACAAACAAACATGCGTTTATTTTGATCTTTTTTTTGGGGTGAAAAGGTACATGGTGGGGCTTTATTTATTTATTTATTTTATTTTTTTAATTAATAAACTTTCCTGTAAATGCACCAGTATTAGTTACATGGCTAGCTCCCAACTGTAATCTCCAGGACTGTAATTATCTCCGGGATTCTGTAATCTCTACCAATTTAACACACAGACTTCATTCCAAGTTTGTCCCAAGAACAACAACAGCCCAAACTTGCTGACTTCTGTCCAAAACCATAAAAGATCTTAGTCCATATTTGATGCTTGAAGTGTGTATTGAAACAAGTAGTACCTAAGTTGAGGTAGAAGTCTAGGCGTCCCCGGTGTAGCTCCAGTGTAATGTAGTCCCCTCTCTGGCCCTCTCCGTGCAGCAGGACTCCCTCAGACTGTTGGCTCTTGAAGCGCAGAGAGATCACGTCCTTCACTGTCGACATGGACTTCTGGTTAAACCGATACAACAGCGAGCTCCTTCCATCAAAGTCTGCCACGTACGACTCTGGGAAAGTACAGTTTGTGGCGAAAATCAATACCAGAGGAATGGTCTCGATGGTGTCAGCAGTTTAAATATAATGGCCAATTACAAGGCATGTAAAATGGTAGAAGTTGGTGTATTGAATCTGCAGAATATAACACAAATCAAAAGTAACAGAATATGAAAGAATACAATATAACAGATATTGCATATTTCATTTGCTGGTACTTTATTAATATTTTATTGATTTTAATACAGTATTATTTGTGCAATACTGCAGTTCCTCAAACTTCACTACTAAAGAAGTAACACTTACAAATATAAAGTTTACAAAAGACAATTCAAAGTAGTTAGAGCTGTAATTACAAAGTAGAGAGGAGAACCATTATTGATGGCTTAAGTAAAAACAGCATTTTCTGTTGGCTTTCAAATATTTAGCATTGAAATGGCAACATGTTTTTGCCAAAGCTGTGGGCTGAAAGATCTGGCAATAACGATGTGAACAAACAAGTGACTGTATGCTAAACAGTGATAGGACAAAGCATAGAAAATGCATTAAATCTTGTCATTTCTAGCCAAAAACTCTGGGTTTGGGGCCAATAATGAAATGTTGTAGCACAGATTACCATGCACACACTAAAGGAGAGTGCTGCATGCTAGGCTTGTGTCAAAAGACTTTTCACAGTGACATACTAATATTGGAAAATCAGACGTTCAGTATATTGTGTATTTTGAACAGCAGCCAAATCGGCATGAATAATTAAGACAGAATAATGCAGACAGCTGGCAGCTCAAGATTCTTAATGAAAAATGGACGCTTCGTTAGATTATTGAGTATTTGACATAGAGAATGAGATCAATAGTTTATTTTTAATCTTTGACTGGCAAATAGCTACTTTCACAAGCCATTTTAATACCGTGTAACTGGAATTTAGTTCCAATATGAGCATTATTACTGTCTCTAGGGTGCAAATGTGTTTTTCCTAACCAAAAAATGTAAATACCATCTGCCATGTATTAATGAACAGACAGTTCCTATACATATTTCCATTTTCACCATATTATTAATGTATTTATTAATGTATTCAACTTAGAAATAAACTGAACTGCGCTTTCTGTGTGAAATATGGGCTTATGGCCTCTTCCAAGCTCCCTGTATAATGGTCTGTTGCAAGTAACTGATCACTACTACACTGGGTAACTTATATAACATACTGTACAAGCAAAAAATGTCAGACAGCCTTATTTCTGAATGACTTGAGCTATAAATATATTCCCATTACACATAACTTTGATTTATGGAAGAGTAGATAATGATATGCATAAGAAATAAAATCTTCCAAGGATTATGAATTTTGATTTTTGAATATATTTTGTCTGACGAAGTTCTATTCAGAAGCCACACTATAAAACGCAACAATCTCTAGGTAAGTTATAATCACTTAAATTAAGGACATTTGTCTTTATTTGGGCAAATTCAACCTGACAAGTAAAATGATTTACCAATGGAATAAGTGTGTTTTTCTTAATTCAAGCAACATTAGATTTAGTTTCTTATTTTAAGTGCAAAGACTTGTTTTTCTTATCTTTGGAGTAGCAAGATGTATTTTCATATTTTAAATAGAAAATGTTTTGTTTACTTTCTTAATTCAAGTAATCTTAACTCTAGATTTTAGTTTTTACAGTGCAGTATCTATTTTAGTACTTATTTCTCTTTTGTTTGTTCCCACTGTTCCATAAATCTTGCAAATATAATTTTTCTAAAGACATTTGGCAAACAGTTGATCCCTTTTGGTAACCCTTTTGTCTGAAATGAGATTTTCTGTTCGACAATCAAACAAAGAAAGCCTATTTAACCCAAGCGACTGTGCCCGGGGAAACTGCAGGAGTATCCATCTCTATCCTAGCCTGTTAATCGAATGTGGTCACACTGCGGCAGGACTGAGAGCCAGACCTGTTCTCCGGCACAACCAGGAGGGCCTTCTATTTATTAATGTCTTTGTGCTACTTACAGCACACAGCAGCCCACCTCACGGTCAAGCTGGACCTAAAACCAACTGGTGCCTATTATAGTCCCACTTTTCACTGTCTCCACATTTAAAGACGATTGATTCCGAGCACTGGGCTGGAAATGTAAGAGAGCTGCTGGGACTGTGGCGTCTTTTAGTTTCACCTTCATAATATGCGACTGGAGAGCATTGATTGCAGTATAATAGCAGACAGAGTTCCACACAAAGGTAAAAAAGGCTTGGTTTCTGCAATACAACTACCAGCACCGTACCACTTAAAGGACCCATATTACACTGTTTTCTGATCTATGTTCCTCCTTGTGATGTCAGGTGGTAATACAGGATGTGCTCCACTGTGTTTTTAAATGGTGGCCATACCAGCTTGTCAAAGACTGATCCTGTCACATCTCAAAAGCTAAGCAAGGCCGGGCCTGAGTAGTACTTGGATGGGAGACCGCTGGGAAAATCTGGTGCCACAGTGGGGAGCTAGTTGCAAAAACTGTTGTTGTGTCCTTAGGCAAGGCACTTCACCCACATTGCCTAGTATGAAAGTGGTGTGTGCAAGAGTGATGGTGATGGTGGTGGTGGTGGTGTGTAAATGATTATGAAATTACACAATCATTTGTGTAATTTCAGCCCTGGATTGTGAGTCTCTACTGAACTAAGGTAAAAAGTAGTTGTTAACTTGAAAACTACCACTAGTCATCACAAGGTGGAACAGAGCCGTTTGAGCTTTGGAGATGTAAACAGAATAATAATCAAGTGTTACTCAAACATGTATGAATGAAACAAAACACATTTACACGTATGTTATTGATCAGGTAACAACATTCATTAGAATGTCTTAAAGTTCACAAGAATCAGCATAGCATAATGTAGGATCTTTAAAATATATTCCAGAAAAAACAAGTTAGAATATGAAAATAAAAGAAACTAAATAAAAGAAAAATGAAACTAAATAGTCAATAGAGTGATATGATGATACAAATTAAATTGTGATCTGACTCAATAATCTGTTTTTTTGGTGATTTTTTTGTGATTTAGTGTTGTTCAAAGTTTTAATGTAGCACTATACTCAGACACTTTGAGAGAGAAACTTTTCCACATCCATTTCTCCTATTGATTAACCTCTGTCATGCACTGAGTGAGTGACAGACAGATTTAACCAATGACAATGCAGTGGGAACTTGAAGCAGTAGCTGGCTTTAGTTACCTAAAAAACAGACAATATAAAGATACTAAAGTGTACATAAATTGTGATCTAAAAAATTCTTTTGGTACATCACCCTACCATAATAATGGCACACCATCCACATTTTGGTGCAGAAATTAGACTTTTTGGAAAACATCATTCAGCCATTACTTTTTCTTCTTCTTTTTTAACATTTTATGCATGAGCTGAATTACAAGCGTTACCATCATGAATCATTAAAACCCAAAGGCAAATTCCAGTTCACAAATGTTGTTGTCCTAGCACGCCCAAATAACTTGAGATCTTCTGGTTGGACAGCAGTGAAGTTTTGACTTTTTGTATTTCTGCTTATTATTACCCCAAACCATCCAAAGTATATGTTAAAATCAAAACATCTTCACCAGCCTGCTCCAACACTGTGCTCTGGCTGCTGTGAGACAGAGACAGTCAGGCCCCATAAAAGCTCTCTCCATGGGGCATTTGGGATGGTCTTTTACAGCACATTAATTCAGCGAGCCTTCCGTTAGTGCTGCTTTACAATGTGTGAGAGCTGTTCCACTCGCTCCCCATTAAACATACTTTATCCACTATTGTTCTGAATAAAACAGCCCCTGCTTGAACCCCACGATCCTTTGCATCAGGTTATAAAAAAAAATTAAAACTAATATCGAAACTAGATATTTATTTGAACAAATTGTTTAAATAAACAGTAGCTCAGTTAGTAGAGTTTTTGGCCACTGATCTAAAGGACATATCCACTGATCCACAATTTGGCAGTGTGATTCCAGCCCTGAGAATGCTGCTGTTGTGTCCTTGGGCAAGACACTTAACCCATCTTGCCCCCAGTGTCTGTGTACATTGATGTATGAATGTGTTTGTGAGTGGGTGAATGAGTGGTCCCTTGATATAAAGTGCTATGAGAGCCTTGAAGGTGGAAAAGCGCTAATGTGACCATTTGCTCTATAACACATTTTCGGAATAGTTTCTAAATAAGATCACATCCCAGGCTGTAGCATTACCAACATGTGTCACACCTCCACTGTTGTCTCTAAGTAAGGATCACTGAGGTTACATGTGCTTATGTTCTGCTCAACACACAGCATTAACAGCAATCCATGGATGATAATATACTGTAATAATAAATATACTACAAAGATGTGAAGTGATTTTAACACGACATGGCATTTTCTGCCCTGGGCTGTGATAATACCATTTGCAGTGTCTAATGAGAGATTGGCTCATACTATACACAGGGACATACAACAATAGTTTAGCACAAAATGTTTTTCACTTTAATTGCAGTGAAATTCATTCTGCATTTGTTTGCTTCAGTGCATTGTTATTTTATTTGTGATATCTAATTCAGTTAAACAGAAATGGATCATCTTACATTTTACACCAATGTAAATTAAATTCGATTTCTGCAGTATCAACAAGCGAAGCACAATACTGTTAATCTGGAATGAGAGAAATATGATCTTGTTCTAAATGATAGATGACCAATGAGCTCCTTTGTGTCATATTAATTAATTGTCACTGAAATAAACAAATCTGATCTGTGACCATACTGATATCTATCTGTATAAAAAAATACAGAGAGTTATCATTCTGGATTTGTCAGGCAATGAAGTTTATCGTTCAGACTCCAAAATATCTTTTTTGTATATGTGTTGAAACTACAAACAATTTAGATAAGTCCACAAGGCAATATACACTTGAGAAGGCTGTGATGCAAATGGCACTTTAGTTGAGGTGAAGCACAGAACATCAGTGTTTGGACACATCCAACAACAGCCCATTCCAATAATGACCAATCCCAGAAGCAATAGTCAAGCCTATATACACACGTACACACACACGCACGCGCACACACACGCGTGCACACACACACACACACACACACACACACACACACACACACACACACACACTGAAGAGGGCTTCACGGAGCTCATTCACAACTCTGTATGATTACTGAGTGGAACAGATGTGCACCTGTTTCCAATGTAATCCCCCAACCTCTGTCTGTACAAAGTGTGTTCTGCTGCTCTGATTCAACTAGTGTATATCTATCAAGAAAAAATGTGATGCTACTAGAAAATGAAATAGTAGATGGCGACATAAAATTAGATTATCTGTGTATAGTTTTGAAAACAATTTAATAGGCTGGAAAAAGCTGATTAAAATATAATTAAAGTAAACCTTTGTGAATAGTTTGGTAAAATATTGTCTGATTATCTTCATAGGGATCATAGAGTGTATCAGGAAGTGGACTAAAGGTCAAATGAAGCTCACGTGACTAACAGGAATAGGAACAGGAATAAAAATAGGAGCAGTGTTGGGGAGTAACGGATTACATGTACCGCCGTTACGTAATCAGAGTACAAATTATGAGTAACTGTATTCAGTTACAGTTACTGTTTCAATGAGTGGTAATTGGATTACAGTTACTTTGCTGAAATAAGTGGATTACAAGGCGGTATTTTCCTGTTTTCACATTTTGTGCTACCTCGCATTTATTTATTTTTTTATTTCGGTAATTCCACTCATTGCCGGAAACTCAAACAGAACGCGCGCAATAAGAGCGATGTAAACGTCATGTTAAAGTTGGCGGTGTCAGTCACACAGTGGAAGCAGCAGTGCATTGGTAAAAACGCATTTGTGTCTTAGAAATTCTTCTCCCGATGTGAGATATATATATATAAAACAAACAAATATAAAAATCGCCTACAACTTAAATGTGAAACAGGAGCTACTGGCACCGGTGAAAACAACCTGCATAGACTTCATAAATATCTGGACTACTGTCCTATAGTGACCTGCGACATGAGGAGACACACACACACAAACACACACAAACACACACAAACACAAACACACACAAACACACACAAACACACACAACACAAACACACAAACACACACCTTCATCATCGTCATCAACCTGAGAACCCGCGGACCACGTCTCCTTCCGTAGTTACAGCACGGACACCGCCGTCTCGTGCGCCGTGTGAGGAACGTGTTTTCTCGCGTAAACCGCGCTTTCTCCTGTGCGCCTCTAAACCAGAACTAACACCAGGACTAAACCAGAACTAATCCAGGACTAAAACAGGACTAAAGCAGGACTGAACCAGGTTTAAACTAGGACTAAACCACGACTAAACCAGAACTAAAGACCTGGTCTAGACCAGGTCTTAGACCAGATTTTAGACCTGGTCTAGACCTGGTCTAAAAATCAGGACTAAAACCAGGACTAAACCAGGTCTAAACCAAACAACATGACACCTAACAGTAGGTTGACATAATTTAAGGTGATCTCATATAAAAAATAATTTCTCTATCAATAATATTTTTTAATATGGTGAAGGAAAGGCTTATCTTGTTACTGTCTTTTAACAGACAAAACCTCTTATATTAAGATATCGTGGTCTTTGTTTCTCTACAGCAAACAGTTGCTTATTCATGGAGACTTGGGCTCAGACAATTTGAAGACAACAAACAAGAATTTTCAGGATGTGGTTGCTACATTCATGTTGTTTAAAAAAACATGACAATATCAAGTAATCCAAAGTAATCAGATTACGTTACTCACTTTGAGTAATTTAATGGATTACGTTACAAACTACATTTTGGGGTGTGTAATCTGTAATCTGTAGGGGATTACATTTTAAAAGTAACCTTCCCAACACTGAATAGGAGGATCATGTAGAGCGAGTTAATATGAACATTTTAAGAACAAAATGGCAGGGCTCACTTCTGCAGTTACAGAGAGAGTCGTGACGATTTTTCAATGTAAAGTCAATTAGAGCCAGAATCGGATTGAGCCAGAGGCACCACTTCCTATTCAGAACGTAGTGGCTAGTGTGTAAGATATGTATATTTACACTAGTATATACTTCCATATAATCTATGATTGGAATAGTACTAAAAATGTACCAAAATGTTCATGTCTGTCAATACGGGTCCCCCTTACAGTGCTTATTTTTAGTGAGTGATGGGTGACTGGTGCACATATTCCACCAACCAGAGGCACAACAAATTAATTGCCCTATTTTATGAATGTCTCTCTGTCTGGCTGGCTGATATAGGACACATTTGGATAAAAAAAAATAAAAATCCAACAAGCACAAAAATGCTTTTTGTAATGTAACTATTATAAACTTTGCAATTATTTTAAAAATGCTAAAAATATTATCCATCAAAATGTAAAGAAGACTGTCAACTTAGTGGATTGATTTTGACATCGCTGTGAGTTTTGTGAGTGTCATGTTCTGTTGAGACTTTGTGAATAACAAAGTCACTGAAGTGAGGATTTGACTGATGAGTGATGGACAGCTACTCTCTGTACAGTCAAAAAATACACTTCAGTATGCAACATTTTACTACAATGTACACAACAACTTATAACTTAAAATGCCCTGTATTCTGCAAAATTTGGGACATGTTATAGTGCTGTTATCTCATCAAAAGCATACCTGGAATTGTGTTTAGTTTCATTCACACATGTTTGAGCAATTCTTTATTATTAGTCTGTCTATATCTCCAAAGCTCAAAATGCTCTGTTCCACCTTGTGATGTCATGTAGTAGTAGTTTTCAAGTTAGCAGCTACCTGTTTGTTTAGCAGAGACTGACAATTCCGGGCTGAAATTGTCCAAATGATTCTAGTAAAGGTGTATGTGGTTTAAAAACACAATGGAGCACTTCCTGTTTTACTACATGACATCACAAGGCGGAGCATTTTCAGTTTGAGAGAAGAACGCTGCCTAAATATGCAGGGTTTGTGTGATAGACATGTGTGAATAAAACAAAACACAACTCCAGGTAAGTTTCTGATGAGGAACCAACATTATAAATAGATCAGAAAATGTTGTAATATGGACCCTTTAACACAAATGTAAAGCTCAACAACATGTTCCTTTACTAAGATAATCTAATTACATGAACTAGAAAAGCAATTAAGATATTTTCGCTAAACATGTTGGCATGTAATAATAATTAATACGTATAGAAGCAAAAATATATGTAACACAGTGTCAAAACATAATTAGTACTTTCTTAATGACAAAGTAAAGTAAGGTAAACTTAAGACTGGAAATAGCTTGTGCTGATTGCTTTACAAGAAAATACAGTACACTCAAAAAAAACATATATAAATAAAATTAAATGAAAATTAAATGCAAAATAAAATATGTATCTAATCAGCCATCTCAAATACCAGGGATAATTACTATATTGACTCATTTCTCAATATATGGAAGCTGGAACAGTATATTTCAGGACTCAATATTTTGCTTTGATTTGTGTCCGTGGCATAAATTAGTTTCAGTATTATTGTATATTGTGATATTTCTCTGTAGCAATATATATCTTGCTTCAAAATGTGTTACCGTCACAGGCCTAGGAAGATAAGCTTTGTAATATGGCCACCACTTCAGCTACTTTATTTGAGGATACAGGTTTTGCTATGAGGTCAACCATAAGCAGTATTATTACATACAATTCTTATATAAAAACATTAATATTCAAATTAAAATACATATATACGCATTTTAAAACTATAAACATGCATTCCATTTTATAGTGACATTAAAAAATATAAACTAGGGACGCCCCAATCTATCTTTTTCAGTTCCGATACCAATTCCGATATTATGGCTTTAAGATCTGCTGATACCAAACAATACAAAGTGAAGAGACTGAAAACAGCATTTATTTCCTTGAAACAAAAATAAAATAAAACAAAATTGATCCAAATGTGTTCAGCAGATGTTATTTATCTCTCATGTAACAGAAACATTTTTTACAAATAAAAATGTATATGTCCAACCAGGATAATGGCTGAACTAATATTTGAAAGTTGATATCCAGTGTAGCAATTTTTTCAGTATCAGATCAGTGCATCCCTAATATAAACATACATTTCATCGTACAGCAACATATAAATATACTGTAAAAAATTTTACTCACTGTAAGCGCAGCCGAACACCTCCACCCTGAGCCCCATCCAGCCGCTGGGGTTCCAGTTGAAAGGAACGAAGCGCAGAAATCGAGTTTTTATGGAGTGGGTCAGCTTGTTCACCACCACGGCCTCTGAGTTCACATTCCCAGCAAATCTCTGCAGGAGAGACAGAGAGAGACACACGGTAATGGCACTATTAAACTAATGCAGGCTAATGCAACGTGGCCAAGGCTGCTCTAAGACACCACCCATCATCAGATATCTACCAAATTCACATTCATATTTTCTCCTGAGAGCAGAGGAGTGTGTTATTCGGCCCAGTGTTTGAAATATAAGAGGACAGAATACACTAAATCCTTGAAAAGCACATAAGAAGCCATAATATGCTGACAATGCAAACCCAAGGGCACTATCTTTTCCCTATTCCTTACCATACTATTGGTTTAGCGTGATAAGAATCGCAATGTGTGGTGGAAATATGAGCGAGTAGCAGGCAGACTGAGGAAATGTACAGAATGCGGTGGACAAATACAGGGCTAAAGCAGGTACAATAGTGAGATGTCATCTGAAACAGCACTTCACATCAATAAATCAGTAACTAGGGGCCTAGGAAGGAGTGCATTCTGGTAGGGTTGTCACAATACAACATTTCAAACTCAATTCCAACCCTAAAGGAAAAAACACAACACTTGAGCTGTGCTGTTTTCTATTGTCTAAATACAGAATATAATAGCAATTTCTATCAAATCTGTGGTCTTTTTGTAGTTCTAATATATATTCAGACCATTCTAAAAAGGTAAAATGTTCTATTTAAGTGATTTCAATCCCACTTCAAATTACTGGCTGTAGTTTTAGTATCAATTTGTATCCGAGAATCTTTTTTTACAGCTTTTCACACTGAATACTAATGCATTCATTCACATGTATTCATTATAGGCAACTTGTATTACAGGAATTCTATTGTGATAACTTTAATCAATTATATATGCATTATGTTACCACCAGAGTAACAACATTACCATCTGTTAGGCAGCATTCTAGTATCTATTAGAAAGCAAGCTTGTATGTTTACAAGGAATACATGAGATAGCAGTAATTTTTAATCAATGCCAAAATACTAGTTGCAATTTATACTTTTAATTACATCTTTTTTTATTTTTTATTTGCTGCTTTATTTTTTAGTATGAAGAAACTATTCCTTCTTCTCAGCTGGAGAAGGATGTGAGAAATAGTACCAAAGTAAGCTTCCCTAGTAGAGGAGACTCATTTTAAAAACACACCGATATTAGTAATGCAACACTAACATATTATTTGGTGTTATTTGACACTGGATCAACACAAGATTTTATCCATTCTCTATGATTGTTGTTAGTGAAATTGCCAGTAGCCGAGCTTTAACTTGCAACAATAATCTTAGCCGAGCACATAATAACATAATAATAACATCTTACAGAGGGCTAAAGCAGGAATCCCCATTCCACATCCTCTGGTCAAACAAATGCTTGGGGCAGCAGTAGTCCAGCTGGCAGAGTTTTTTCCCACTGATCTGAAGGTTGGCGGTTCAAATCCCACTCTCAACAAAAATATAATTGGTAGAGTGGCAAGATAAACATACCGCCATTATGTCCTTCTGCAGCACAATTAACCCCCCTCACACCAGTGTCTGTGTACACTAGTGTATGAATGTGTGTGTAAACGGGTGAGTGGTTCCTTGAGTGCCTTGGAGGTCTAAAAGTGTGATATAAAAATGTACCATTTATAAAAAAAGATGTGAGCATTTACTTTGTATTTTCTAACACTAAGCTAAAAACAGTACAACAGTGACGTCCCATCCTTCTTGTTCTCTCCCCAACAACAGGACCACTAACAAGCCCTCGTCTTTGCCATTACGTGACTGATTAGCTCACCCTTCATAATGGATTCCAGGCAGGTGACCGCAGTATAAGGGGCTGTAAAGAGGCATCGTTGACAGTGAAGCTTCAAGCCTCGACTCTTATAAAACAAAGAAAGACACCAAGCCAATAACTCCGGCTCCCTAAGCAACGGAAACTGTACAGTGGGGAGAGGCGGAACAAAGGCTGTCCAATGTATTTGTAACAAGGCAGCAGGGGCGTCATTAAAAAACACCAGGACACTGCTTCTTGGTAGATAATCAAGGCAGCAGTGCGACTGTTAAAGCTGTAATTGTGATTTATGCCACCACTTTCCTATTTCCAGCATTTTAACAGGAGCCGAGTGGATGAATCTTATAACAAGTACAGGCTGTATAGGCTAATTTATAATTCACATCCACCACAGAGGTAACCCTAAGTCTATAGGGAATTTTGGTTTAGAGCACACCCGATACAAGATGTTGCTCTGAGACTAAATCCATTGTGTGTAATGTGTGCAACCAAAACATGAATAAACAACTTATTGTGTTATCTTCTGCTGTGTATAGAGCTAAAAGAATATACAAAAGTGACTCATTTTTGTAATCACATTATTGTCTGCAGTTAACAAATGGTTGTGGTACATAATGCTGTTTTGGTACAAATGTAAAAGGCAAAATGTATCAAAGTATTTATTTGATTATGCTAGATGCTAAAATAACAGTCATGCACCACAGATTTTTATTTGCTTTCATATCTTCATAATGATATTCCAATTAGTAAAACAATTATTTGGGCCTATGAGGTTTCAGCTCCAAATTTCTGCTACTGTATACACTGCAAGCTCCAAGAAACCAATGATCCAACTCTGCTTACATTGTCCCGAGGACGTTCATGTAATGGCTTAGCATATTATAGCTTGGAGCTGTTGAATCTCACCACAGATGGTAATTTGATTAGTGAATTTTACTTGCAATTTTTGAACATGATTTGAGCAAAGTAGATGGCGATTTATGTCAACAAGTTTGTTTTAAAAAATAAACCACTTCACCTGCTGCACTTCTCTATGTTGTTATTCTGTAGATGTAACTAATTTGCATCAGGGTGGCTATCCAATTTGACATTTCAGAGATTATTAAAGCACGCAAACGCCAATGTAATGAACATCTTGAACTTTTTAAACTTACTCTGATCAGTTTGGGTTCAGTAGTTCAGTCACAAACTAAAACTGTGTATATATGCTATCCTCTTTTTTTGCTTTGGAAAAAATTGCGACAGAACATCTTGTGTGTTCCAGCTGAGAGACGCAGCTCTAAATAAAGACCTGAGGGTGCTGAGGATTTTCCATTATGTAGCCAGCGGGCCGAGGCTGGGTCCCTTATCCACGCAAACAGCCCTAACCCCATAGTGACTTCATTATGTGTATTCTGTCTGGATGCAGCCTGCTTCCCCTCCTCATTCATTAAGGCTCTTTACTCTTCCTATGCGCTGATGAGCTCCCCTGTGTCACTTTTCCTTTCGCTTGCATACAGCGCTCGGGCCACAGAGGTTTATTCTAATCTATCCACTGGAGAATAAATCCTGCTCGCGGCCATACAGAGGCAGCACTTTGTTCCAGAAGGTCAATGTAACAGCCTAAAGGTACAAATAATGAAGCCATGGCTGAGGGAGCAGGGCTGTGAAGAGTGGACCAAAGACTAGAGCCAGGGTGATGACCGCAAGCTTCTCAAATGAGCACACAGAGAGACAGGGTTTTGTCAGCATGTTCAGTGTCTGCTAGTTAGTTCGTGTCCAGTAATACATGAAAAGAATTACATTTGGTAACACTGTTATGGAAAATGTCAATAAAACTAAATGTGGTGATGTGCTTGTAAGACACAAAGACACTATTAAAAACAGTGTACATGGTGTAAAAAATTTTACTATTTTAAGAAGGAGAATGTGATGATAAGTAATTACTAACTTCAAAACAGCAACTTCACTTCATGTCTTTTTTGCTAATTATCTTGTTAGCAATGGGTTAAAATTAGGGAAAGACAACTAAAACCGAAAAAGTTGGTTCTACAAATAAACATGCAAATCATGCAGATTTTCATAACCTGTCCAAACTTTCTTAACAATGTAATATGTATTCACTCCCACTCTAAACCAAAATTAAGATCAAATTTCCAAGTTGTCAATCACCATGCACATTCCTCTTTTTGGTGTTAAAATCGAAGTACCACTTTGAATAAGTTTCTTAAATCTGGCGAAGACTATAGTTGGTTTATTAGTGGGTGAAACTTCAATGCTTTGTTTGATCAGTGAATAAAACCAGCATAGTGAGACAGACAGTGTGTGGGAGCTTTTTATTTCTATGTTTCTTTGAGCACAGCCCCTTTCTTTTTAATAAAATAGCAGATGCAAAATAATTATGCCTCCTTCAACAAACCAAATCTTCAGACTTCCCTCAGGTTTATTTACAGACGATGTTGCGATTTGACCCAGATATCTTCTCAATTTCTTTTTGTCATTTTGTGGTTTTGTTAGGCACTGTACCTGACTTTTACTGTCCTAAACATGTAAAAACAGAACTAGTTCATTTAAAATGCTTTGCAGTGGTCCAAAGTTATTTCCCACATACTTCTTTAAGTGTCCTAATTATTCACCAAAGTTTATAAGTGCTTTTCACAACTCTCAGCATGCTCTCATGCACTTCCTGATTATTGGACAATAAAACACGTAATAATAATATGCAGGCAGTATTCAGCAAACTTATTTTCACCCCAAGAGCTGCTTGTACAATATATCTGGGTCTCTAACTTGGGTCTGAGTAGACAATGAAGTACATTTCAATTTCTTTTTATATCCAGATAACCATTCAGCAGGAGTGTGCTAAAATGTATTAGTTGAGGTGTAAGTATCAGGCAGGGAAAACTGGAGTAGAGGATTTCACTTTATGATGCACAATGGTAATTTGTGTTTTTTATATTTGAGCTATGGATCGATGCCCATGCTGTTGACCACAGGTGTTTTCTTATAGATGTCAAATTAATCTGCAGCAGTTATTCTTTTTTCTGTGATAATCATATACCAGGAAATAAAACATGTGTAATGAGATCTCTTCAGTGCATCAATTAATTCATTTCAAATACAGGGGACCATGTGCGTACAGGAAAGGGTCAAATGTTACATACAGAATTAACATTACAACTAAAATTGGTTTGTATCTTTCTAAAACCTACTCAATCGAGCTAAGGGTATATTTTATTTCTTAGTATATTTTCTTGTGTTAGTAAATAGGTA